ATGTCCCAGCCCAAACTTGCCCAAGACACAATGACCAGCGCAGGTAGGGTGGAGGGCTGCAACGGGCAGGCTTAGCCGCGTACTAAAGAGCGCTGGCATCAAAGAACACAGTGCAATGGCATCAAAAAACAAAATGCAGGGCAATCGACGTCGTATATGGTTCAGGAAAGCAGCGGCGGCTGACCTGGACTTCGCTCAATATCGGCGACTCGGCCGCATCGGTGTGATGAAAACTTGGACTTTGCGGTGCAGCCGGGTTCACGGATGCAGGATGTTGCGCGGCTTGTGATAAAGTCTGGCTCCACGCCCACTTCACTCCACTTTAGCAGGTCTGGGGTGGGTGTTGGATAAGCATCTCCAGCAGAGTGTCTCTCGGTCGGTAGATTCAGTCGCATGCTCTTGCAGGCTCCGAGACAAAGCCTATAGCCGGTCTGGACTCCCAACACATACCCATACAAGATCTTCCACGTCTTGAAGTAATTCCAGCCGATCGTGATTTCAGATATTCCATCTGTGATCATGGCGTGGTACTTCCCCATCTTGGCATGCGGGTCCACTGAGGCTGGGCTATGCCCTGCGTCAGGGCTGTGGCTCTTCAGCCAGCATTGCAGTGGGTGTTCGTAAGGGTTGGGAGAACACGTTACCCTCGAAAGATGATCAGCCTTGCCGCCGTCCCTGCCTCGATATGACTGTGTGACGATGAGCCTTAAGCCTGTGTTCCTAGGCACGGAGATGGATGTCCCTCGGGGGACACAGTACATCGAGAAGGCTGCGAAGCAAGGATTGCCCCAAGCCCAGTACATGGTATCCAGGCAGCACCTGGTAAGTCGTCCGTCGAGTGGAGTGGAAGGTGGTTTTGGGCTCCTTTTGCGGGTGCAAAGAATGTGATTGCCTCAAGGATGTCCAGTACCCTGACTTGGAAAAACCCTCCGTTACCCGGCCTTAGCTCTCATTGCAGTCCATTCTGATGCAGCTCTATAGACCCAGGGTTTTCCCAACATAACTGCGCGCAACGTGCCCCCTGACACTGTAGATGGGCTCTTGCCTTTTCTGCGGTGACGGTGTGCAGCGAGACGTGAATCAGGCTGGGGAAGAACTGCCTGCAGAGTGTTGTTAGTGTTGGGGTCTCTCTTCGGGGTTAGATTCGTTGGAAACAATGCGCGCATTGCAGTGCAAAGTATAACACCCAAGTTGAGCGTGGCCGAGTTGTTTGGGTCGATGGTCCTCATACTGTATTCCTCCTGTTGGGGGGTAGGCCTGGGTTATGCCCCGAGAGGCAACGTTAGTCGAAAGTAGTTCGGTGGTTAAGCTCAGCATCTTAGAGCATAGAGGGTGAGCGGTGAGCTGGCTCAAACAGATGACCCCCCCCCCCCCCCCCGCCCCCCTCACATTTTGTGGAGCACCCAGCAACCATGTTCATCCATGAAGTTTGGATACAGGTCCGACAAACCCCCAAATCACGCAAGACAGGCTGCAGAGCGGTTTCGCCAAGCCGCAGAGCAGGACCATGGAATGGCGCAGTATAGCTTGGGCGTGCCCTAGCTGCAGGATGAAGAGCATGTTTCGTCATGATATCTACACTTGCCTCTCCCTCAGTCTCCGCTCTCTCTCCCTCTGTCTCTCTCTCTCTCTCTCTCTACCTCACCCTCTCCTTACCTTTCTCCGGGTTGTGCTTTGGGGTAAGTTTTAATTTCCTTTCTTTCCTTGTAAATGGTTTAGAGCGCAACTCAGTTCTTTATTTCTTCGTATCCCTTTTTATATTTCCGTTTCTCAACCACTCTATCTCTCTCAACACTACCACAAACGAACTTTGAAAATAAGTAGTGCAGTGTTTTGCAAACATTTGGGAGGTCGACCTGTTTGGCTGGACCCGGGCGATTGATTGTTTCTAGCCCCACCTCCAAAGTCAGCTTCACTTCGAGGTTATGTACGAGCTGGGCGAGGGCGCGACTTATCAGCACCACAGTCGTTCAAGCTAAGGACGCGCAGGGCAGAAACTTCATACTTGTTCTCGTCATCAGATCGATGTATGCTCACATGTTGGCGTCTTCACACGTCTTCTTTGGCAAACCAAGAACCCAACTCATTTGCCTCAGCATAAAACCTTGACAGGGAAGCCCCGGGGCCCCAGACCTCTTAGGCTTGACAGCACAAGGACTTCGAAACACCAACGACTTGTGATGATGCTCATAATGCTGTTTAGAGTCCTACCGCTTCAGGGATGATCAGTTTAGAGACTCACAAGAGTGCATGTGCATGTGCGTGCGCACGCGGTGCGCCAATAGGTATATCTGCCCACACCGTAGCTTACTCAGGCGAGCCTGTGAGCCTGAGTCCACAAGCAGGGAGAGCACTCTGCAAACCAGCTAAGTCCGATGTATGTCTTCAGGACATGCTCTAAGAAGGCATGCCAGGCTCCTTCATTTGAAAACATGTCCGGCGCATACGTCTCCGGCGGCATCGCCCTTGCTGCAGGCAAAACCCTGTTCTTCGCAAGTACGCACGAGATGGGCACATGGCATGCACATGGCGCTTTGCCCGGCAAGCCTACAAACAGACTGTCGAGCCTAGGTGCCTCAGAATGACGCTCAGGCGCAGCGACTGGCACGCAATTGCTGTTCAATATATCAGGGTTGGTTCCTTGCAATGCGGAGTGGAAATGGCGAAGCTAACCCTTCTTGGCGGTTGAGGATGGTTGAGGTACAAGGCATGTTGAGGCGTGTATGCAAAGAGATGTGGTTGTGCGTTTAGGCGTTTAGTTGTTCTCAGGCCCAAACCCTGAACCTGCTGGCTTGCCTGAGTGATGAAAGGGAGGAAAAGCAACTCTAACCTAAGTCTTCTGATCAAGCCCTAACTCAGGATTTTTTCAAGCACAGCTTCCCTTACCAGAGTCTTATGGAGATGTTGAACCAGAGAATGCCGTTAGCTCCAATGGCCATACCTTGAACCCTTGGCCACCCGAGTGTCAGCGCCGAAACACCCACTGACCCACAGGGGTGCGGCCCACGGGGGCGCAACGATTTATACATTGCAATCCATGAGTTAGTCGTCGCAAGTTATCCAAATGGAAGCCACACGAAGCCACACAGTAAAAATCTACTTGTAACTTGCATTACCGAAGACCAAGGCATTGGTTCCGCCTGGCTGCAGCGCAGGGCCTCTTAGAGGCTCGTGCGCGCGTCCGTGGGCAAGGCCGTACCACGCACCACTTCAGGGGTTTTGGAGTTGAGTTGAGGGCTTTTGGTAGAGTCACCATCGCTGTCAGTAAGGTTTAGGAGTTTGGAGGCCGTAGGGCTTCAGTCCTAAAGCCACCCGAAGCCCTGAGCCCCAACCAGGCACCATCCCCGCAACGCCTCGTGCCTTCGAAAGTTTCACAAACAATTCTGATCAGAGAAATGCTGACATGTCACATCAAAGAGGTACTTCTCAAAACTATTGACCCTTTCTGCGGTCTTGGTTGGTAAGTGTAGGAGGAATTGAGGAGGACATGGCTTTGGAGATTTGCTCATGAAACGTAGCTACAGTCCATGTCATACAGCCTGGTGAGGTTTGTTGGCTCCACCGGCAGCTCCGTGAGGAAAGTGGACTACTGTAACTTCGGCTGCAGGATTGGCGATTTTGCGTCGAAATGCCCTGCTTGGACAGCGAGGAAAATGATATAGGGCCCTTGGAACCGGCACTGAATTCCGATTTTGCGCCACCTTCATATGCAGTGGTAGGCTGGTTCGGTCACAGCCAAGCTGCACCTAAGCATAACTGCCATCTCCAAACCCGTTCCAACCTGCAGCGTAGCCAGTATAGGGCCCTTTGTCTCTCTCTCTCTCTCTCTCTTTTTCTCTCTCTCTCTCTCTCTCTCTGTCTCTCTCTCTCTCTCTCTCTCTCTCTCTCTCTCGCTCTCCCTCTCCCTCTCTACTTTCAGTGTTCAATCCAACGCCCATGCTCCAAGCTGAGAAAGCTTCAGACAGGCCGACACAAACTGCGAGCACTTGCATCACAGCCCCTGAGTCAACCTGTCCAGTGAGAGTCACACGCTGTCGTTGCTGACTTGGTTCAAAGCGTCACTTCATACACGACTACCAACGCACTCTTTGGATTAATGGGGTGTCTGTGGTGAGTCGAGCCCATGAAATCTTAGTACCAACATGTCAAACCCCACCAGTTCGTACCTCGTGCTGTGCAGGTTTCCCTTTGGGCCAGCGGCAGCTTGCTTGAGTCTTGAGTAGCCTCTTTGTGCCTTTGGGGCGCAGGTTGGCCGAAGCCATCTTACGCTGTCGCTCTCAGCATCATAATTTATAATTGAGTAGTCGTCAGTAGTCATGATGGCGGCCCTCGTTGAGCTGAGAGCCAGCCAGTTCTTCATGATTCTTTATGTCGACCTTTGGCTTGCAGATCTTCGCCGTAGCTCGCAGTCAGGGGGGGCCCATCATCTCCTCAGCCAAGCATGCAAAAGCCTTTGAAGTTCCGCAACGTCCCTTCAAGTATGGTGTTTTCGGCCAAGGCTAGCCTGGCCACGTGGGCACAGGTGTAGGAGTTAGATACCTTTCCAGACAGAAGCGGGGTCGGAGACTGGGTGTTTGCATGGTTTTGCTGTAAGCCGTTGAGCAACCTTCCCCATATTCCAAACCCTAGGCTTGGCGTTCGACAGTCAACCCTGGAAAACACTCGAATAATCCCACCCCGCTGGGCCCCGCATGCCACGCCACGTGGTGCGGGTCTTGCTGTTGCTGGACGTATCGACTGCGAAGAAAAAGTCCAGCCCCCGAGGCTCGCACGTGATGAGATGAAATCACGATACCTGCAGGTGTAGAGTCGGGCACGGGATGCTTGTTGCTTATTTTGCTCATTCTGGACAGCTGTAGCTGCTGTAGCTCGTTCTTGTATGACAGGCCAGGGCTGGATGTCCTCCGAGGTGTCTTCTGCAAAGTAATTAGCCTTCACCCAATGTCTCAGAACAAGAGTCGTTGTCCCGAGTCCCAAGTTACGCATCGCTTCGCGCCCAGGTGCCCAGCAAGAATGGCAGCGTTCAGGGTGCACTGGTCGAAGGCGCATCTGTCCAAGTTAGTCCAGGTATGAACCGATCATGAGAGGCCCAGGGCAACCATGGGTCGGCTTAAAAGAGTGGAGGCTGACTTCGTGGTCCTTACATCCTTGGGTTCCTCACTTGATCCTTGAAGTCGAGAAGAGTATTCATCAGAGCAGCTTCTAAGTCCTAGAAGAACAGGAAGTGGTTCAAGTGCTGACTGGCAGCAGCGCAACATGCTCAAAGCATCTTTTGCGGGAGGCATGCTTGGTATTCCAGCGTATATGAGGTCTATGTAGCTGAGGCTTACCTCGATGTGCGAAAATGAGCAAATGAGCCTTCAACCTCGAGTCCTGGAACCCAAGAGACCACCTGCAGCCTTGCCCAGCCATCAGCGCATGTCTGAGGGTGCGGCAGCCACGAAGACCTGTCACTGGCAGCACAGAGCCGGCCAGACGCCAAGTGCATGTTTGCGTACTTCGGTCCAGGGCTCATCTGATCTCATACGGCCTGCTCCAGTACACAGCCCAAACAAGTTCAACTTCAGCTTTTTGGTTAGGAGCTCATGAAATGCGTGCAACGCATGCAACATGACTCTTGTTGGGCTTGGCTTTGCTGATGCACGGAGCTTCAAAATCGAGACGACGTCCCCATATCACAAGGACCCTCCACTGGCCATGACCCCCGCCATGCAGGCCCAACCCCCTAAACTTAAGGAATGTTCCGCACACCCACTGCAACTATCCCCAAGCCATGGGAAGCATTGATGCCGCAGCACCGAATTGCTTGAAGCCCGAAATACATGCCCAAGCCGTCTAGAATATCCACAGAAATCTACGACTGTGTGAACTTAACCCAACTGGTGCCATGGACCGCGTCTGCTCCTAACAGCCTCGCAGGCACTTCACGTTTCGGAGGGCGAGGGGTTGAAAGCTGTATAAGCGAAATGGACTTGCGGGCTCGGGATCCGCAACATGTTTTGATTCAATGAATTGGTCTTGAAGCTGCCTTTAGCTTTAGCTTTAGCTGTTCGGGGTCCCCGGGTTACATGGACTTTTGGAGTTGGGGAAGGAGAGGGCCCGCGCTTCGAAGATCAAAACGTCACCTTCGAAGTTCCGAAACGTCGAATCTCGTCAAATCTTGGCCATCAGGAGGTTCAGGGGGGATGTACAGGGAAGCGCAGTGCGGTGCGAATGGCATGTTAGGGGTGTGAATGTAGGGCAAAGCGCCGTTCAGTAAAGTTTAAGGCTCCTCAAACCAACACACAAACAGCCCAAACAGCCACAGGGGGCTAAGATGTCAAGATGGGGTACTGACTTGCATGTACCAATAGTCCGTACACAGGTCAACCGTTTGGAATGCGCGCAGGGATCGTTCTGTCTCGCGAGGCTTGCCCACGTGGCCTGGGCCCACCTCGCAGATGAAATTCGGAAAGCAGATCGAAGAGCAGCTGACCTGCAAAGGGAGCAGAAGATGCCTGCGTGGTTGCCCAAGCGCTGTATCCACGTGCCTTTCGTGACAAATACCAGTGTTTTTGGGCATGGTCGCGAAAGGCATGGAGACTTGTGGCAACGTATCTTGTTCCACGTCCTTGTCAAGTCTGTTGCAGAAAGAGGCGAAAACACTGTAAATACCAGTGTTTTAGGCATGCAATATGCATGACGTTATTATCCCCCCCCCCCCACCCTCTGCTGGGAGTTGCGGGGGGTTGACGCGTGCGATCTCGACAGGATTCCACACAGGATTTGTCAGGCATTTTCTGGGCGGCCAAGGAGTTATGAAGCAGGAACATAAGCAGCATTCGGCATCATATTCCAAGGCTGTTAGTGTGGGCTTAGGATGGTTGAGAGCATGTGAAGGGTTCTGACATGCATCGATTCCAGAGTGTCCTGAAGGTATGAGCTGCCAGAGTGGAAAGGCCCTGCTGTCTCAAGCGTTGTTTGTTGTGTTTGAGATTTTCGTCCGAGACCATCCAAACTTATTATCAGATGCCCTTCGATGTCGACAGGGCAATACCTGCCCTACAAACAGCTCAAGAAGGACTGCTGCGAGCTTTCAAGTTGACATCTTTAGTACTTCGGCCGAGGCTTCTTTGTTGACACTGAAGCGCTGGCAGCCTCGCAGCCCACAGCAAAGCTGCAGTACAAGCCATGAAGCAGGAAGCGTGAACAGGCACCAGCTTAGAAGAGCACCAGGAACACTGTGCCAGTACTAGGTAAGCAGCAGCCCCCGCAGCCTAGCAGATACAGTAGCAACGCCTTGAGCTCCAGCCAGGAGCTGGAGAAGGTGGCCCATCCCACCGCCAACGGCAACGGCCACGTCCAGGGGGAGGAGGAATCATCCAGCAAAGGCTTGGCATCTCGGCGGAAACGGAGATTACCTCATCCAAGGACTGTCCTTACGGAGCTTGAAGCTTGCGTTTACATTGTCATTGTCTTGGAGTCCTTTTCAGACGATGTGGAGTGATTTAGTCCGAAAGAGCACCTATCGGAAGAGGTCGACCTAAGCGGCTGACCCAAAAATGTTCTCATGGACTCTCTGGTGAGGGAGTATGGACCCAGAACCACTGATTTCTCCACGTAAGGCAAGAACGTCGAGCTGGACAACCATGGGGAAAGGTAGCCAGGCAGGGCAGGGCTCATCTACTGCGCTCCCTGAGTTATGTAATCTTCAAATTTTTTTAGTCTAGTGACCACCAATCGAACCTCACCATTTGCAGATGCTTGGACACATGGGCAGCTTGTTCAGGAAGAAAATGGCTTTACCGACAATGAGTGGATCCAGCATGTGCCTTGGCAAATACAAGTGGTAGTAACGGAGTTCAGACCTCCGCACTTTCTGTAGGGCCGTTCATGCATGCGTTCTGAACCCGCACATAGCTCTTTGTCGAGTGGAGTGTCGGCATATCAATTCCTGTTATCTGGCCTCGCTCAACCGTGGCCAGTCTTGTTTTCTTTGCACACCGCCCTCAGGGAGTGGTGCACAGCAGGAAGCCACAGCAGCTCCTTTTGGGACTGGTGATTTGTTGCGGATGCTATTTGGCATTGCGTGTTGCGTCCCCACAGAATCTCAGAATCTCAGAATGCCCTTCTCCCACCTGCTTGAGCAGCTGAGGTGGAGAGCGAGGCGAAACGAATCGGCTTCTCGGTGCAACATTTTGGCCTTGCATCCGATTCAACACCCTAAGCTGCCCTTTTTATAGTCGGCCGCATATCAACTGTGAGATGAAATTCTCCAGGGTTCTACCCGGCAAACTTTACTTTTTTTCTGATAATCTTGCCAAAGAAGACCTGGCCAGGGGTGTTTGTCGACCGGGGCATTGATGGCCTCAACCAGCAACTGGAGGCTCGAGGCTGATGTCTTTTTAACGTGCAGGGACTAAGTGAGCACAATAAGGCAGTCAAGCAGAGAACCATGCATAGCCTGCACCTGGAAACCCCCCTCGAGGAGCTCAAGAAGCTCATAAGCGAGAGTGGCCTTGCGGTGACGGCTGCCGCTGAGGACACGGGCCTTCGATGTTGCTCAGTGGTTAGGCCACCAGTAACTTAGGGCATCACTTTTAGCACAGGCATGGCACATTGCTCACAGGGCAATTGGGCCTAAGGCCTCAGGATGCTCAAGATCTTCTCTTACCTGAGCTTCGCAAGATTCCGCCACACCACGAGGGTTGAGGACATCTCCTATAGCAGAGGCTCAGAGGTGTTACAAATTGGACTCTAATTTAAGCGGTCTCACACAAAAGTTCTTTAGCAGAGCAGGCTGGCATCGTTTCTTTCAAGGATGTGATTTGGCAAAGTAGGCACGTCGACCTTGCCAGAGGCCATCGATGCGTATGCTTCGGCTGACGAGGACATTCACCTGCACAAAAGAACTAATGATCTCCAATTGGTCAGTCCGCTTCGGAGCCATGGGACTTTATGGGGACCAAGAGAGATTTCGAAGCTGAAGCGCGAGCAGCTCAGGAGTCCAGCCACATGAAGCTCCACGCTCTCCAGGCAGGAACTCCTACTCCTGGTCAGTTCAGGCTTGCTTCCAGTACAGCCGGATTGCAAGGTTTTGTTGTATGGTCAGTAGGTCAGTAGGGCGAGATGTGGGGCCTCGGCCCCTCAAGGCATCAAGGCCTCAAGCCGCTCTTTCAGAAGCCACTTTGCTTGGCCTGTACTGCAACGTTGGACACTTCAGACACCTTAGTCCCCTTTGACCCCCTAGACCCTGGACAGGCCCTGGGCAACGTCTCCATCGGTGTGCAGCGCCTTCGGGCGTTTGCTGAGCTGAACTACGCGGTCCCCTTGTCTGCCTTTTTGGGAGCTTTCTCTTTCCACGCAATTCCTCTCGGCCCTGAAACACCGCGTTAAAATCTGCTACTGCGCACCTGGAAAGATCGCTGGGGTCATGCAGTCGCTGGAACTGACTCACAGCAGTTCTTAACCCAGATTGCAAGGACTTTAGCCCTAGCAGTTCTGGCTTCGTGGGTCACAGAGCATCAGCCTGATTGTTCACCAGGGCTGTTTCTGGCAGCCAAACGCCGCAGCATTCGCAGCATGTTCTCAGCCAGCCAAGGCTCTCTACAAAATCTTGAAGACGCTTTTGCCCAACAGCGGGTGCATTTCAGACATGTTGACACATGTGCTTACCTGGAGTATGGTACGGCAGATGGGCCGAGTAGCTTTAGCGTGGCAAAATGTGGCCTTTGCGCTGAGACGCATCATGGGGCTTTCGTTCTGGGATGACATGTGGAAAATTCTTCTGCTTCGGCAATCCATAATCTCTCCCACATTTTGCCGCTTTCCCTCCAAGGAGTCAAATAGGGAGTTGCGGTAGAGCCGTTTAAAGTTAGAGCGCTTACCCTTTTATGCTTGAGACAGATAAGCCCACTGTCCCCGAATGGTCAAGCAGATCACTGGGCTGAGATTCGGAGGAAGGTCCGACCGAAAAAGATATGAAGCTAACCATCGGCGGGAAGCATTTAGTCCAGAACAACCCTAGCTGCCCATCGCCGGCAAAATTGGTTCTGCTGCCAGCTAGCCATGGTATGTTGACAAACGTCAGCTGCGCAAGAATCTCTCTTTCTCAGCTTCGTTTCCACTAGCAAAGCTTCCGGCACCTGTTCAGAGGCCTTCAAGTTGTAAGAGTTGCGCGAAGGAAACACGACAAGACTCTGAAGACCAAGTTTGGCCTGGAGCACCTCTTCCCTCGCTTGGTCAAGGAGCCGTAAGGGACACGGCTTCCTTTCAGGGTGAGGAGGTAAGGGGTTAGGTGGGCTCCACGTTTCCAATCAGCCAGATTCGTTGTTCAACTCAACTATTTATATGTATTATACGTATACATATATATATATAGAAATATATACATACGATGTCTCGTCGCTGTTTATAACTTGGCCTGGACATGCCTGGTTGATGGGAGCGAGCCAGTCAGTATCCATGATTGTGGTTATGATGCAAGCCACTCCGTTTTACCAAAGCTCAGAGGTTGGGCACCGGGAATTGGGGTCTATCGGGCTGGTTTGCCCGCAGCTTTTCCTTGAATCCATCACAAAACTACCCATACGAATGTTCAACATGGCAGTTTCGCTGTCCAAATCTGCAAATGTCGGAAAACGTCTCGCTGCAGAAACTGACAGCTGGAGGCAGTGCGTAGGCCTTCCAGGGCTCCGCGAAACCTGATCTCTTTCTCATCGCTTTCTCATCCCGGCACGGCACCTAGCCAAAACGCGGCAACGGCATGCAACAGCTTAGCGCTCTGTGACGTTTGGGACCTTTTAAAGGACGTGCTTTCGTACCTGCCATTACGTTGCTTGAAGTGGAAAGCATGCAAATGGTGGTTGGCTGCATGAGAAACACGATGCTGGGAGTGTTCCATCACCCGAGGTTGGTCCTCTGGCCAGCATTGGTAGCATGGACGTTCTCATCCTTCGGGCATGGTGCTCTGGCCAATGGATGCGAGTTTCTCAAACGTCGATAGAATTTTGGAACGGCTCAGCATCAAGTAGACCTGGGCAAAATTGCGGGCAAACGAGCCCGATGGACCCGGGAATTGGGCGGGTCTTGAAACTTGGGGGGTTCGAGGTCAAAAGGGTTTGTTCTTGAGAGTCTGCTGTTTGGGGTTTCTGTTTTGATATATTTCCTCACAGGTTCGGGTAGCTCTCTGACTGCACAAAGATTTTCCCAGATGCACATGCGCGCGGAAAAACTCAGGCGGAAACTTGCGGTTCAGGCTGACTTGGCGCCATCGTACTGAAAAATCTTTGAGCTGGGCGAAGCATGCCGGAAAAGTCGTGTATCGTCCTCCACGCCAGAGTTCTTGGGGCTCCCGCTTACTTCCACCCAGCTTCCAGCAGGAGACCAACCTTAGCGATCACAGTCGCCTTCAAGTCCTGAATGACGAGGTGAAGGAGCTGTCGATGAAATGTCTGCACCTGAGAAGCTCACAGACGTGTCATAAGAGACAAGAAACTCAGGAAGCTTCCGCTTTTAGAAGCCGCCTGTCAAGAGTTTTGTCCTTCCCATGGCGGGGCCGAGGTTCTCAAACTTCCGTGCTTTGCCAGCATCAAGCAGCTTCCTGCTCACATGGGATGGTCTGCTTTGTGCTTTGTGGTGAACTTCTCACAACTGTCGCGCCATGTCGCGCCTGACGAGGAGTCACCAGAGGTTGCGTGCCTCATTCATGGCCTGGGCCGGACAGGCCGGGATATGACATTGGCAGGGCACCCAGTGATGCTTTCCTGGCCAGCATCACCCGCAGCCGGGGGCCTTTCGGACTTTTGCACAAACATGGCACTCTCAGGTCAACCCCATTTCGCACCGTAGCAGCACGGCAGCACTCGGCATATCTCACTGCTTCAGCCTTTCGCAGTTCAGGGTTCATAACTGGCACTCTGCGGGTTCTGCTGCCCTCCGATAGGAGTCTCTCATGCCAGATAGAATGGTTCGGAGAGGCTTCGGGAAGACGGAAAGACACTAAGGCGAGCTGGTTCTCAGCTTCTTCCTCGGAAGCTCCTTGGCCCTCTTCTTGGCTATCGGTGTGCTCCTGGCACTCCCTGAGAAGAGCCTGGGAGCCCAGAGGGATCCAGAAGAGGGTGACAACACATGGCGCATTTCAGGGCACTCCGCCCTCTGCTGCAACGAATGCTAACTTGCCGTGCAGCGAAGTTGCTGTTCGTGCCAAAGGTGTAATGAACTAATGCGGGGCCTTACGAGGGCCTGCGTACCGTAGAGTTGGCTCCTGGAAAAGAAGATCCCGGAGTTTCTCTGAACTCGAAGCCTTCAACCGTGCAATCCGTAAGTCCAACCTACTCGGCATAGGGGCCATGAGGGGGGGGGGGGGGGGGGGGGGGGGGGGGGGGGCAGGGGGGTGGGCGGGGTTCTTGATGTTGCGCTGCTTCCTTGTGGACCCAGCTCTCGGCCAGGCCCGAAGACCTTCTCCGAGGCTTGGGTCTTGAAGTTTAGGCTTTTCATGGCTTTTCTATAACCAAACAACCAGATTTGAAAGTCTCAAGTTGACGATCCTCAGCTTTTGAGCAATTGTCCTTTTCTTACAGCGAAGCCGATCCAACTGTGAAGCACCTCTGGCCTTTGGGAGACTTTGGGAGGCATATTTCTTGACGCCCATCCCAGTGTTCCGGGTCGCGGCTCGGCTGGAGATGGGAATGGGTGTAATCGGTGTAATCGGTGTGTTGCATTGCCCAACACTCATCACGCAGAGTACAGAGGGCTTTGTGTTGGGCAAGTCTTGGCCCAGTGTCTCCTTCGGCTCAATACAGGGACGCTGTGGCCCTGCCCCAAAATTGCAACCTGAAAGCCAATACAAGCCAATAATTTATTTCTTGCAGAGTTCCTTTCCAAGACTCGAAGCCCTGGAGTTTTGCCCCCAGACCATGCCAGCATGCTAGACCACTGCAGTCCTTTGTAGCCGAAGCCTTCAGACAACCATCCGCAAATTGTGCAGCTTCGGTGACAAAACCCTACTAACCATCAGAAGGTCTTAATCAGTGAGATCATTAAAAGGTGTTTTCCTACCTCTTGATCCTGTGGTGCATGGGTGCTGTGGCGAAGATTTGCGACCAGCCGTCGGCCCGCATTCGGAGGGCTTCAGGGAGGCTTCAGAGAGACTCAAGGCTTGCAGGCTTGCAGGCTTGCAGGCTTTCGGGGTCTAAGGCTTTGACGCTTTGAGGTGTGAGATGAACTGCCGGTTGAGGAAAATGGAGAAACCAGCTCCAGGCCCCCTCAAAAGCAAGATCCACAAGAGACCCAGAGAAACTAGCATCTCCTTTCTAAGTTCTAAGCCATCTTGACACCCATACACACGCATGCCCCCTGGGACCAGAAACTGGGACAGAGTTCTCATTGGTCGATAGGATGAGGAGGGGGGGGGGGTTGAGCAAAGGCGAATTGCATCCAACCAGCAATGATGAACCACTATTTGGTCAGGATAAGGCTATGTCTTGAGTAGTGCGTAGTTCCAATCTACCGGATTACGGATTAAAGCTAGATGGAGGTGATTCTGCGAAAACAGGGTTTCTAGTATCAGGGGTGGTTCTTATCGAATTCCCGAACAAACAGAGCCGAGGGACTGAGAGGAACTTGAGTCTTGAGGGTTTTGGGGCTTTCAGAGTCAGAATCCAAGTTTCTGCTTCAGGCTTCCGACCCCCCGAACCCCGCCCCAGTTCGGTAGAGGTTTTAAATAGGGGCCGGCACGGGATTGGGATTTGGGGTCAGGGGGTTGTTAGCACTAGGGGTGTTTCAATATTAGTGGGACGGGATTATTGCTAAAGCACATGAGGGGATGCCTCGGGCGGCCCCTTTAATTAGGCTTGGTCCACTCAGTCCAGGACGGTTATGCAGGAAAAGTGAAGTTTTGAATCCCGGCTTCCGCGAGTTTCCTATCCTCCCATTTCCCCACCCATGTCCGCACATGGGGTTCAGGTTTATAATAGGCCCCAAATATTAGAACAAGCATTCCTTGCGTTGCAGAGCAGTCCCAACCAAGGTGGGATGTGAACCACCTCTTCATCCTGAACGTGGATCCCCGTTGCCGGGTGACTCCCGAGTTCTTCTTCGCCCGTGCAGCTACACTGACCACCATTTGGATTTTGATTTTTGGACGCTTGGCAAGATGGCTCCGACAAGATCCATGATTTTTTGATCTGTGGGGTTGAGCCAACCTGTGTCCTGAACTTCAAAGCAGTGTGGGATGACTGCCTTTGCATTTCAGGAACAGCTTTGGAAGGTTTGCGGCACGCTCTGTTGGTTTGCCAAATCTGGGGGGTAAAAATGGTGAAGCATTGACGGCATGTGAGCCTTAATTCTGCACTTGGGGTCGGGTACTTGCGTTTCAGCGTTGAGCTCTCTTTCCGAGGATCGGAGAGCTCAGCCCGTCTTTAGTTAAGTTCAGCCCAAGAGTTGCGGTGGAGGCTTTGTTTAGCTGCTTTCCGAGAGTTCGGGCCCTCCGCCAACCCCGGAGACCTGCAGCGAGGAATGTATGTCGTGGACTACAAGTGGAAGGTTCTGCCAACAGTTTGGGCCAGCGATGGGTTCAACAAACGGTCGTCCTTCCATTTTGCAGCTGGGCAGAACCGCCTTGTTCAGGGAAGCCTACATTCAGTGTGATCCAGGGTCGTGCTACCCTTCAATGGAATAAGTCGGAATGATTTTGCTCAGTTAGCGGCGGCTTCAAAAATGTAGCAATCATGATGACGAGTCATGAGTTTTGGATCCTTGTCCCAGCCCGAAGGTTGCGGAGTTGAGGATTGAGTGGGCACTGCAGCCCCTGAACACTAACTCATTTTAACACTATGCAAGTGCAAGCTACGGTCACGTAGACGCGAAGGCATGAAGACACAAAAATGAAAGCAAATGCAGCGAAGAGGGGGGTGGAGGGCAGGCGAGGGAGGGGCGGGCAACTCGCTAGGGTTCGGTGTCTCCTGACACCTGTCGCCTAGGGGGTACCCATTGCAAGCACAGAAGTGACAAGAAGGGGGTGCAAACTTCTGCGGTCTGGCGTGGGAAGTAGAGGTGGGCTATGCTACCCGGAGACCTACGGCCCGAGGCCTTGGCGGATTTTATATTATATTGTGCGATTGCAAAGGAAAAGTGTTGTCCTGACAGTGACAGTGGCTTTGTGGTTCTGGTTTCCCTGCCGCTGTCCTGTCACATTACTAGCTGTTGGCAGGTAAAGTCACTTGCGGCATCACCCAGCCCCCAAGCTAGCCGAGGTGTTTTATCCATTGACCCTGCTCCTCCTGGCTATCCTGGGCACACTCGCGCCGTCCACCATCTGCCGCAATCGGCTGCATGGCTTGAGCACATTTCAAGTTTCCTTCTGAGAAGAGGGTGCTACATAGCAGCTAGCAGCGACTTTCATGGCAGTTCTTGGCCGAGACCGACCAAAATCGGGGAGGGTTTAATGTTAACGAAGATTGCTTTGATGTACAGCGAAAAAGCACATCAGTCCACACACTACTGCCCGTCGCGGCTTGTCAACATGAGGGTCACAACATGTGGATTCAATGCGAACCGCAGAGTTTGTCATCGCTCTAGCCACAGGGCCGCCTTGGGTAATGCATGCGCATCTCAAGCCCACCCGGTCAAATGCCCACCTTCGACATCGAGCATTTCTGGGTCGGCATGAAACGCCCCCGGCCCTCTTCACGAACTTGAAGATTGATTATGGGTTAAGCTAGCAGCCAGTGTACACAGATTTCAGGCACTTGGACCCGTGCACGTCAGTGACCCTTGACATAGCCTCAGGTACAAAATTTCGGTGTTACAATCCGATTCTTGGACGACAGCATCGAGACGGGTTTGCTTAATTGATGAGGCTCAGAAGTTTGTTGAGGGCCACGTAGAAGTACTGGGTGATGTGGCCATTTGAGAGCTTGGAGCTTGCCGGCAAGTGGCTTTCGAGCAATTTATTCTCATATCTTCCACACCTATAGTGGACCTTTGCCGTAAGCAGCCCGCGATTTCGCCGGCCTCAACCATGCTGATAGTCCCAGGTCAAGCGAACTGGTTTAGCTCCCGTGTACTCCGTTGACTTTGCGGACAACATGGTCGGCGACGTCCTGTCGCCTGCTCGCATCCGAGATCGTCCGAACAACGGAGGATATAAGGTCCTGAAGGCTGGAGCTACCATGCGCCAAGGCACAAACGCCTCGTCGACACCTGACTTAAGGCCCCAAGAAATATGTCAATGAAGCGCTTGCGGAATCTAAGGACGAGCCTTGCAAAGCCGATCGAGGCCTGAGCCAACACATATCAACACAGTTCAAAACGCACTTACTTATCACGGCTGCAAATAGCTGCATACTACTCGTCACTACTCTACATCTGAAAAGGTCGGCTCGTAATGACACGGGCAATGCACCTCTGACAGGTAGCCCTTCGGAGACTAATGCGCAGCAACGAAGTGGATTTCTGGGCTCCAGGCTGACAAAGGGTATGTTGCGGGGCTTCTAAGCCTTGTAACGAGAATAAGGCATCTCAGCGAGCGAGTAGTTCACTTGTCCGGTCATTGCGAGGACTCGGACAGGATTGTCGCTTTCAGGTATCAGGGGCGCGTCCGAAGTACCAAGCAGTAACGAGTGATGCGAGTGTGCTGTAGGACGTCCCGGCGGCAGTGTGCTACTTGCTGTCACACCATCCTCAAGAGGAGGATGTCGTAAAGCGCTTCGTCGCGACACTTGACACGCTTATTAGTTGGGTTCCTTCTCAGAGCTTTGAGTTCTGAAATGTATTCCTACCGGAAATGCTTGGTTCCTCCTCGCAGGGGCCCCACAGCTAGCTGCGGAAAAGACTTCAATTCCAACGCAACCTGAAGTCTCAGGACAGGACCTGTGATCTAGCCACACAACAGATCTAGCAAGTCTTACGCTCTCAGTAGCTTCCCTAATTAATTGCAATGAGGATATCTGGCAAAAGTTGAACGGTTTTCGGGAACATATGCCCACTAAGGAACGGCGACAGCTGCAGCTGCTCAGCCGCAGACATGCGAGGGGAGATTGCAAAAAAGGTTTTTGTGATTCCCGTAGGTTTAGAAGCTTAAGGTCAACAGTGCGTTAAGTTGACTTTACCGTTTCCCCACATGGCCTGCTTGGCTCATGTAGCGAACATAGCCTGATGGTAGCAGGGCAGCAGACGACACCCCGCACAGGGATTACTCTGTGGACTGGGGCACTTTTTCACAGCAGACTTTGATATCCTTGTGACCAAATATCTTCCGACATGCTTCGCATGGGAAACCAGATTGTGTAAACGACACCCGTCACTTGTGAGGTATCCAAAGCTATTCAGAATAAACTTGGTACCACGTCCTCACCCCTCGCATGCCGAAACTCTCATCAGTTCTGTTCGGTAGTTCTGAATGTTCAACTAGAAAGCCTGAGCATCATGCTTAAACCCGTTGTAAGTGACTTCTCTACTACATGTGCTTGGCCTAGCAGCAGGCACAGATAAGAAATGATTACAACAATTCTCATGCGATTTGAGTTGAGCATTTGGGGATGATTGAAGTTGCGCGAACCCTCGGAACAAGCTTCCCGAGCCGAGGTGCAGGCACACATCGCAGCCTGAATCAAATTGGAGTGAGGGTGTCCAGGGTTGGCGGTGAGTGCCGGCGTTTGAGATCTCAGAGGCTTTGTTCGCTTTCTAGCATTCCCTTTCCCTTCAAAGGCCTCAGCAGCATATCACCTGCAATATGCCCATTGGATAGGCAACTGTCAAACCATGCTGAATGTCATATGAGTCATACCTGCACTGCGCTCTGTGGCCACTTCCTCTTGTGATGTTTACGCAGATGATTTGTGTATATTTACATTACAGTATATGAATATATATATATATACATATATATACATATATAAATATGTACACACCTATTTTGTGCCTGGGAACAGTTGGTGCAGGTTTCATCTCCACGTCCCAATACGAAAGTGAATTCAAGTACTTCAAGGCCTCGAAGCAGGTGATTGTAAGTACGTCCAAGGCTGGGTCGTGCCTGCCCTCGCGGCCTTGCCTTTCTGGTTCCGTGCTCTGCAATGTTGCCGGCGATACGCGGACACCAAGGACAGGCTTTCATTGGCAATCGCCACCTAGACTCTCTTAGTCTTTGAGATTAGGCCGAGCTCAATAGAGCAGGTTCCCTATTAGGCACATGCTTAAGTGGGAAAGAAAGAAACTCAAGTGTATTTGCGCACACTTTGTGCAAGTGTTAGAAAGGCCACTGGAATTCTAGCGACTGAGCGCTCGAATGCAAGCGTGCATGAACGTTGCGAATTGTATCCTTGGGGCATTGGAGCCAGGCCTAATAAGAACCATGTTGATGGTGATGGTGGTGAAGCTGCCGCTGCCGCTGCCGCTGCCGCTGCCGCTGCCGCTGCCGCTGCCGCTGCCGCTGCCGCTGCCGCTGCCGCTGCCGCTGCCGCTGCCGCTGCCGCTGCTGCTGCTGCTGCTGCTGCTGCTGCTGCTGCTTCTGCTGCTTCTGCTGCTGAGTGTGATGATGATCATGGTGATGGATCGTGATCATGATACTGCTCACGATGGACGTCGTTGCATGGAGCACATGTGGACAATCCGTTGTCCAATGTTGTGGTTGTTGTGATCCTTTTTTGCGCTCCACAGAACTGCACGTAAGCAACCTTGACTGAGGGCCTGCCCATTCTTGTCCCAACTGGAAGAAGGCCTGCTGGAATGAGACTGGTGTTGAAAGCGAACAGCCAAAGGCTCGTATTGCAAGCCTCTATCAGTCCCTGAATCGTGAAGTCCGTACATCAGCCACCACCGCAGGAGCAAAGACACTTGTGGACGCTTGGACAGGGTCTGGAGTCTGGAGTCTGGAGTGAACTTTGTCAAGGATCCACAGTTGGAATCCAACGCTGTAGGCTTCTTCTACATGCTTTGTTTGCGAGATGCAGTCCTTACCCACATTCTTCACAAACGAACCTGGGAAGTCGGAAGCACCCAGGAATCTGGGGAAGTATTTATGCAGCCTCCTGGTTGTCATCGTCTCGCGCATGGAGAGCTTGACGCTGTTAGTCGCTGCTCCCTGGTCTGCACCTTGAGCCTGCACCCTCCTTAATCAACAGAGCCAACGCGCTTGGGTTTGATATTCCATTTGGCCTTCAACCCATGGGTCTGGCAGAAGTGTCGGCAGCCACTTGGCACTGGTTGTACTCTCCAGATGTCACCCGGTGGTGGAAGCCTTATTCGTCTTGACATGTGCCCTAAAAGCCGGCAGGCTATAGGTAAATGTAGGATTCTTCGTGTTTGGCGCTTTGGGTGTCCTAGACATCTGCAGGTCTCAACGACAGCCACACTCTACGCGTTTTTTTGGGATGTGCCTTGTCTGGGTCCATGAGCCGAGATCAATCTTGACGTTCGAAGCACGTAATGTGCGTGGTAGAACTGTAGCCGCGGGAGTTTGCTTCTGCGCTGCTGCAACGGCTTTATTACCTGAATGCTTGAGGCACGCAGAATAGGGTTGCATAGGTTTGCTGGTTTGCATTTAAGGTTGCACGCCTTGCCTGCTTTTCTGAAGGGTATCAGCAGGCATCAGTCTCAGGTGTAAAAACTGGCAACAAACAAGGCCAGGCCCTGCCTGCGACTAGAGGGCCATACTTCAAGCATCAGCGCCTACTCAGCCAAGAAAGGGTCAAACAGTTTCTGCATCACACCGAACTCACCCAACTTGCCCGACCCGGTCCAACTCTAAATCGTAGACCTTGGATCCCAGTTCACGACCAGGTTGGCTTGGATTGGGGCCTCAGCTACAAAGAGCCCCCCGCCAAGCAACATGTATTCGACAAGCTCGGCTGGTCCTCCTTGCTTCGTAGCGTTTGGGGTAGGCATTCACCTGTGAAGAAGTGCTGCGCAGCTAAGAGATCCGCTGACTGGTCACTTGACGGAAAAAATATCTGTAGGCAGCCATGTGCCCATGTGTGGATCAGCTAGCTTCACCTTTCAAGCCTTTGAACATCTGGAATCTAGACAGCTCGCAACCAAATCTTGCCCTGGGATGGCTGATGTGGAGGCTGTTATATGCTTGTCCTTGCTTCCCTTGCAAGTCGACAGCTGCCAAGACCAGGCGCGGCCGACATTTTTTCAACTCTTTTCATGCTCATGCTTCAGTTCTAGGAGATCAGCTGGCCCACCCCTCTGCCGTCAGCGGACTTCGGAATGGACTCTTTTAACTTTTTGCAGCATCGTCTCGCCGAATTCCTAGTGATTCTTTTAAACATGTCTGTGAGTACGTGCGCGATCGGGTTCTCCGTGGGAAGTGGGCTTGAAGCAAGGAGAGGGGGCAACTCGGAAAGTTCACACAATCTGACTCTATGCGTGTAATGACATCGCGATACTGCTTTCTGTCCCAGAAAGACCTGATTTTCTGAGTGGTTGTCAAGGTTGGTTTTGGAAAGAATACTACAGCACGGATTAAAGACCTTGTGGAAGTGGGAGACCTTTGTGTCGAAGCAGGTCCAACTTGACCGTGACTGGCCGCCAGTTTCCGATCAAGGCCGGTGGCGGGAAGCAAATCTCGCATGGGACACTTGCGGGCTCCTATTTTGGGACAGAGCTGTTTATGTATCTATATATATATATATGTATATATTATATGTAGATAGATATATGTTCCTAGGTGCAAGTTGACTTGGAGAAGTTTCCCTAGACCTCCGTTCAGTTTGTATTTATTTCTGTCGCATGTTTAGATCGGATGTTTGTTGTGCCTTGGTGCTATGTCTTTCTTGGGTGGACACCTTTGGCAACCTTGAAAATCCCATACCTAGCGAAATCTGTGCTGGGGCTGAAGATGCTGAAGGTAGGGTTCAGGTGTGTGATGCTGACTAGGCTTACGTGTTGTGCAGCTTGATGGACATCTTCGCGAGATCGACATGGGCGCGGGCCTTGCAGGGCTTCAGGTTTTTCTAGAGGCTACCCGGCTATCCCGAGCCTCACTGCCTGCCTGGGCCACCTCCGCAACCTGAACTGTTGTCCCAAAACCAATTCGCGGGGCTTGGAGTGCGCCACAGAGAGAGAGACAGAGAGAGAGAGAGAGAGCACAGAGGGTCTTAAGTGTGGTTTTTGTGTATGCGTTTGGGGAAAAGTAAATTGTTTATAATAAGAGCGGGGTCATCGGCCCGAGTGTTTCACTATACAACGGGTAGAGGGGCCGAAAGCCGAAAGGACAGCAAGGCGCGGGGCTTAGTTTGATGACTTGCAAAATCAGAATGATGGTACTGACAAAGGGCCGGGGGAAATCGGTCACGTGCTGTCGCAGGGGCGGGCGTGGACGCCCGGGCGCTTGCTCCCATGCCCCAAGAAAGAAAGAAAGCATGAAAGGAAGAAAGAAAGGAAGACCGAACACAGGTGCAGGGGAGCTCAAGGTGGTCGTGTGTGTTGGTTCCGGGTGCAGTCTCACCGAGACCTGAACCCATCCGTGCGTGCCTGGTGCACTGGTGGGCGCTTGCGCTTGCACCCTTCATGCCTTGCAGAAGAAGAACAAAAGTTATTTTACTTCGAACATCCCCAGCTTAGCACTCCAGGTCTCTGGGGTTGTGCACTCCAGGGAGTCTCTGGGGTTGCGCACTCCAGAAAGTGTTTGGGGTTGGGCACTCCAGGGAGACTCTGGGGTTGGGCACTCTAGAGAGTTTTTGGGGTTGGGCACTCCAGGGAAACTCTGGGGTTGGGCACGCCAGGGAGACTCTGGGGTTGGGCCAGGAGTCTCTGAACACTCCAGGGTTGGGCACTCCAGGAGTGTCTGGGTTGGGTCTGGGTTGGGCGCTCCAGGGAGTCTCTGGGGTTGGGCACTCCAGGGAGTCTCCAGGAGTAGACCGGGCGAGGAGAAGAGTTCCGGGCGAGGAGAAGAGTTGAGTTTAAAATCCAACAACCGGCAAGAAGAAGAAGAAGACAGAGAGCACGCCCAGGTGTTCACTTTGATGCCCACCAGTCTGGTGACAGGAGCCTCGGCGGCTGAGCCACAGGCTCCTTAAAAGCCTTAAGCCCCTTCAAAAGCTCAGCAAGCTAAAAACAGTTGCTGGCAGTGTGAGAGGCTAGAAGGCCCACAGGTTCCCAGGATCTTGCGCTCGCGCTCGGTCTGTTGCTTAAGGCAGGTCGATGTCCGCACCTTAGGCAACATCGTGGCGCGTGTGATCCTCGTGTCTGTGATGTCCTCAATTGAGATCATCCGCCGCAGTATGTGGGCAGTCTTGCGCAGCTTGCTTTGACCTGGCCATTCCTGCGATATTAGTCATGCAATTTTGATGTTGCACTGATTGAAGATTCCTACTGCCACGAACGACCATACAGCCCGAGAGTCCAGAGCTAGCCAGGTTTGAATACTACAAGACCCCTGGCATGTATTCAGAATACGTGCTGATTGCCGTAACATTCACAGCAAGCCACAGTTTCAGTCCAACTGGCCCGGCCCCAGTGGGACCTGAACCTTTGATCCCCGAAATCCGGTATCAGCGAGCCCGAGTTTGCTTTTTGGGAAATGCTCCGATTTCGATAGAAATGCCACGCCTGTTCTGCGTGCATGGCTGTTGTTTGTTAAAAGGTGAGGCCTTCGGCAATGGCTTCTGGGCCCTTTGGGTTGCGGCGCTGGACAGGCTAGAATCGGCTAGAAATGAGACATTGAGACTCGTTGCATGGAACTACATAATCAAACGCTCAGGCATTGAGTATGAGCAAGTCAGCAATGCTCCGTGGATGCAAGAAAGTTTTTGAGACTGGGGGGGCACATGGCAGCGACATTGTAAGTCTAAATCGCACAACTCGAAAAGTCCCCACTTCCTGAGCCGACTGAAAAATCACACAGTTCTGAAGAGCCCTTTGTTCCGGGTGCCAGCGTTCTGAGACAACTCAGGCAAGTGGTTTCCGTGCTTTGCTGTGGGCGCCTTGTCTATGCGTATCATATATCACTTAAATGCAATGTGTGCAAACACTTCTAAGTTAGTTTAATCGTTGTTGCCATGCGTTCCGAACTCAGCTTGACGCAAGCTTTACCAAAGTATTGCCTAGAATGCAGCCTAGCCGAAGCCCAACGCAAAAATGTGGAGTCCATTCTGCTCCTGTTGGCCATTAGCATATTATCCGACCATACTCGGAGCAATTGTATCGTTCGGTCATTTCTAGCCCAGCTGCCAGACATCACCTTCCGGGACCTAGGAGCTATCTTGGCATGTGACCTTCGAGGCCCTGCCTCCAGCCTTCCAGCCACCAACAAAAGCAACTGTCTCGAGGTGCCTTCCAAGCTGAACGCAAGCAGCACCGCGCAGGTGCAGCCCGAGCGGATTCTGGGCAGCCCTGGTGTGTGTGTGTGTGTGTGTGTGTGTGTGTGTGTGTGTGTGGGTGGGTGCGTGCGTGCGTGCGTGCGTGCGTGCGTGCGTGCGTGCGTGCGTGCGTGCGTGCGTGCGTGCGTGCGTGCGTCCGTGCGTCATTGAAGACCCAATAAGCCTGTACTGTAGTGATTTGGTATACCTCCTCAGGAACGCAAACCAGACCGAAGTTGCAACCCGAAAGCTGCCAGATTCGGGTGTAGGACCGTAGGACCGGAGGCTGGCAAGCTCTCAAGTCGATGGAAAGGGTAACTGGGCTTGGTCTGCCTGCACCTCGGAGGAACAACTCCGTGTCCGGCGGGCCATCGCATGGCGTCTTGGTTTACATGCACCACGTGCCCTGGGAGCAAGGGCCGGGAAAAACCGAAGGCTGAAGGAGTGAGAACAACCATCCATCTCATTTAGCTGCTGCACTTGTTTCAGGGGAGACGACTGAACATGCTACAAAAAGTCATTTATGCATCATCAAGGAGCTGTCAAAGAGGATTCCCTTCCTCAGACTCCACAAACCTGACGTTAGATGCTTCCTGAGGCTGGGATGCGACACAGCCACTGCTGACCTCGAAGCACAGCGAGTGATCTTCCGCCGGATTCCACGATGAGGGCCACGAGAATGGGTTGACCACTTCGGTACATAAGCTGATGATCATTTCAGTACTTTCTGGGAGGCGCATAGGCTGAGACAATTTACTCTACAGTGAAGACCGGTGTAGTCACTAGTCGTGTTTGCACGGTCTGACAGCGCGCCAAATGTCATGGATTGTTCGCTGTGCTGGCTACTACTGGGGTTGTGTTCGACATGCTTTCAAAAGCGAGAAACTGCACCGGAGAATCTGAAATGCCGCAGGCCTTCCTGTCTAAGCGGCTGCTGTTACTCCAATCCAAAGATTGGGTTTCTTGATGGCCTGTCCATCTGCGTTAATGAGCATCTGGTCCCTCGCCAAGCTCCGGACCTGCAGCCTTGGCAGAGCGTGCGCCTTCTACAAGACCATGGCAGAGTCCAGCTGACTAGCTTAATGTTTGTTGTGTTTGTCGATTGACGTCGTGTCTCTCAGGAATATCATAGAGGGTTTGACATTGCCCCTGAAAAGCAGCCTGTACTGCATGCTGCAAAGCACGAGACCACTCTCAAGTCCCTGCGCCAAGCGCTCAATTGGAATGCCCCTACCCTTCTATTCACGTTTGGCCGTAGGGTGGTGCCGAACTGCCTCCGGGTCAGCTTGTGTACAGGAGATGCATGCATTGAACCCAAACCGGCCAGAGCTGGGCTGTCGTTGAAGTGGTGCGCGTCTGACATTTGTAACCCTGAGCCTTACTCCTTACTGCACGGGGGCCTGTCGGCCACTCAGCTGCTCAGCCTAGAAATCTGCCGAGAACCCAGATGCACAGCCCAGCTCCTTGCAAGGGAATGCTGCCATCTCTTCCACAGTGACGCACCCCATGCCCATGAGCTTTAAAATGGCATCGGCTTCTACAAGCTTAAAGCCCGGCATCCTGCAAGACACAAGACACATGCACTCGTAGCTTCTCATCATCTTGATGCATTGGGCAGGGCGCAATGTGACATGAAAAGTGATGCGGACAGGAGGCATGGGGTTGGCATGCGATGGCGGCGCTTTATCACAAGATGGCATCGGGAACGAAGCACTCTGCGATCCACCTTACACATCTCCAATCATCTGCCACATAACTCCGGCTCTAGCTCAGTGATGTTCCTTTGCTGAGTGAAGACTAATCAGCATGCACAAGGGCTCCTTTGCGAATCAACCGTTGTTTAGGAAAGTATGATGTCCCCTCGGCCCAGGATCATGCTTGGGGCTCTTGCTTCGTTTCTTGCACATCTTCTAGAAGTGCACCCTTAGCGCTGAGGGAAGCGTCGCAAGATATGCCGAACAAGAGCTGTTATCGAGACACAGCCGCACATCGAGTCCAGTTGAGAGAGAAGATCCGCGACTCGTCCGTCAGCTTGGAAGTTTGGGCCCGGAGATCCGCCTTCATCTTTGGAACATTTTGGAACCGTTTCTCAAGTCACGAGCTGCAACAGAAGCCCGGGGTTAAACCTGCGAGACTAGTCTTGAGTTTAAGAAGCCCATCGGAAGTCAAGCAATGTGCTTGCTTGCGGTTGCGGGGTGTTCGTACATGCTTGTCATGGTTTTCGGGCTGGATCTTCTCCGGCATGAGTCAAGCGCAGCACACCAGAAGTTCGTGCAGATCAAGGCTGCTTCGTGGCACGTTGCTTTGACTCCTCTTGCCTGGAGAAACAAGCCATACAAGCCATTGCTGCTGCCCCCCCATTCCTTTGCATCTGTCGAGCTTGAAGGGATGGCCAACATTGCAGACCAAAAACAGAATTGTTGGTTGGTTCGGCTTGCAGTGTTAAGGGCAAGGCTCCAATGTGTCGGTTTAGGAGCTCTAGGAGCTTGGGTCTAGCCGTAGGGTCCTGGCAAAATGTGCGCGTGCAAATTCTCCGCTTGTGTATACCGGGGGGCAAAGCTCAAACTTAAACTCTGCACTACTGTGGCATGATTAGTCAAACCGCTTCCGCAACGGTGCACCGTACATAGTATATAGAACATAGTCCACTTTTTGCCAGGCCCCAAACCCCAAATTGCCAAAACCTGCGACCAATTCAGGCCCTTGCCATGGAACAGGCCTGGCATGGCCTGGCTGTTGGTGTGGGATCATGGGCACTATCTCGCTACACAACTGTGACAAAATACCAGCGTTTTGTATCAGAATGCTTCAGATTGCACTAGAACCCAAAACAGGCTCTTCCTAAGACAGCGACATGAAAGACAGCCGCAGGTTTCCGCAAAGCATGCCCTTGCTTCGCGACCTCATCGAGACGATGACATTGCGGGAACGGCGTGCCAGGACTGTCTTATTGATTGACGTGGCGGGTTTGGAGTGTTACCAGTAGCCTGGTTACTTCACTGAGCCAGAAAGCTTAACACCCAATCCAGAAAGTGTGGCCATGCGAGTGTCGGCGTTGGAGGAAGGAAATTCTTGCTCTGTGGCTGCAAAAGCTACTCATCGTTTAGAAGTGCTGGGTGGTCATTCCGACAACTCACAGCCGATCCCACAGCTCGAAGTCACGCATACTGGCCTTGGATTCACAACCTTCAAAAGACTTGAAAGCCCTTCTTCCTCTCCTCAAACACATGGCATACCTCTCCATCTACGTGCCCATCCCGTCGATTTTGCCTGCTAGCATTGCACTAATCCATCTGCTCGAATCATGTACTCGTACGATTTGATTTAGCCGTCCTTTGGGTGATCTTTTTCGGAATATCCGGAAGGCCTGTGGCTCTGGTGGCGTTGGGTCATGACTGGTGGCTCTGATGATTTGAGTCATGCAAACTCGGCTTCTATGACGCTAGCCATGTAAGAGGCAAGAGTGTTTGAGTTAGAGTTCAGAGCATGTATGTGCGGTGTTTCAAATTTCTGGGCCTCGCGCAAGCACCAGTCACATCATTCAATCGAGCTGGAAGGTTAGAGGTTTCTGTGTCTCCGCAGCAATGCACCTGCCATTCGACAAGCCTGTCAGGGTCTGCCTTAAGACCGTCTTGATCAACTTGTAGCCTTGCTGCTGCTTTCGATGTACACCCTGACTACCTTGGCTTGCAGATACCGTGCCGAGAGCATCCCTGACATAGTCAAGGGGCTGCGTTGTTTGCACTTTACCGTGTGAATCCAAGCCGATGCACATCCCCGCCTGAACATAAGCTGAGACCAACAACAAATGCCCCCCCTTGATGGGGCCCGGACGTTCGATGTTTAACAGCGGCCCGCCCGAAATCGTGCAATCTGAAAACTTAAAGCCATTCCCAGTGTTAAGAGCCAGTTCTTACCGGCAGATCTCTGCTACTGCTTGTGCTGCAAAGGTTCAAGAGCTCGACAGATGCAGAGCTTCCCTCCACATCGCTGCAACTCGGTTTTGGGGATGTGTCGGAGTGCCCCCTGGACAGTCTTGCCGAAGCACGAAGCCAAGAGCCTGTGGCCGACGACCACCTCATCAGCCACCCTAAGCTCTGAACACTAAGCCAGGCATGGGCTGTCTAGCGAAGCATCCGAAGCCTTGCCTCGTGCGAGTGTGAGAGTCGAAACCAGGCATGGGCTGCTGGGATGCGCCATGGGCCACGAGGTTACGGAAGAACTCTCCATCCGACTCAGCGAGGACGGTTCCGCGAGCGATGTTGACCAGCTCCTGCAAGTGGTCTAGGACCGTCTAGGATCTAGAATTCCTAGAGCTTCAGGGTTGAGGATGTTCGAGACGGCAAAACGACAACTTCAAACAAATCGTTGCTGGATGCAGATGGTACAATCTCCCCCACAATCGGGCTTGTGCTAAAGGTGTGGGGGCAGCACGTGACGGCCAATTTCCTGTGTGTAGGTCAAAGGTCGATTCAGAGCAGAGAGACATAATCTTAACACGAGAAACACATCCACCCTGCATGTCGGGGTGTCCCTGTCGAGAAGTGTCAAAGCCAGTCAGAGCCGTGTTTCAAGCCGTGTTTCGGCTTGGAGGCCTGCCTTCAGGCTTCTCGGCTCGTCCCTCCCTGGCAGGCGAACACGCTGCATGCACTCCGGCAACTGCAGCAGCAATTCCAGGAGCGTGACCGCGTCCAAGCTGCAAACAAAGATTGGAGTGGACCTGAGCCAAACCCTTAACAACTGTCTACAAAGTCCCACCTGTATCGAGCTGTTCCGAGCAGCGATACATGAATGTAGGAGTGTTCCACACTTGGACCACCCTCAGCCCCGAATGCCATAAGCATCCTGAAGCTTGTCTCAGTCCTCAAGAAGTGTTTCTATCTTGCTCGAACTCATCTTTCCCTTTCAAAGTTGCAAGCAGGCGCAAGGAGACACCAGACAAGATGGGTCTACCCACTCACTTCCATGCCAGTCCTTTAAGTGAATACCTGGATACTGGTTTCAAGTGCATGTCTCAAGTTTATAGAAAGCATTCATGGGGTTCTCCTCCCCCACTGCTGAGGAAGACGGCCCCTCGGCAGAAGCTAGAGCTCTGTGATGCTGAGGATAGGATCTGCAGAAGGTCGCTGCAGACCCTCAATATCATCTGAGCACTGAACGCCCTGAAATGAAGAACCCTTTTCAGCCGATAAGACAACTTTTACGGTGTAGAAGTGGGCATGAAGCCGGCAGTCCCTACCACAGCATTCTTTGTTGAGAGCGTGCTCGGGCCGGACTGGTTTCAGGTTGAAGCAGCCAGTGCTTCCTTCCTCGGGCCCTAGCCATGCATTCTTCTCACCAAAATCACAAAAACGCCCGGAATTATACAACAGCGAAGGCCCCAAACAGTTACGAGTGGAATGGCGTGTTCAAAGACTACAGCGCATACTGGCTTGACCCCGCAAGAAAGAAGCCCCAGAAATCTAAAAGACCGCTCCTGCGGAGGACTTGGAATAGATATGTTCACCCACTCTAACAGCTAGGAGTTAGAGTCAAGCAATATTCCGATCTTGGCCAATACATCACAGACATACACGTGACAGCAACCTCGTGAAATCAAGAGGGCTGCCGCTCTGATCCTGATGACTTCATGAAGCGCCATGAGTCGTTGGAGGTCAGGCAATCATGACCAATTCCGGTCAGTATTTTACAGACGTATACATGACAGCAACCCGGGACCCCGAGAAATCAAGAGGGCTACCGTTCTGGCCATGTTGGAGGTCAGGCAATCATGAGTTTTGGTCAGTACATCACCGACATCCACGTGATGGCCCTCCCGTGGATCAAGAGGGCTGCCGTGTCATGCCCATGGGCTCGTCGCGCGGACGCGTCTCCTGACCGCGCACATCCGCACTTGAGGGTTGGAAGTTGGGCCAACATCCACGCTTGAGGGTGGTGGATGTCGGGCCAACATCCACACTTGAGGGGTGGATGCTCCGACCAAGGCCACCCACATAAATCGTGAAGGGAGACAAAAAGGAGCTAAGCAGCCCAGGGACTTGGAGGAGCATCCGGCTAGGTTGGATTTCTCAAGGAGAAAAAAAGGAACCTGTTTAGAAAACTGGTTGGGAAAACTGAATTAGCGCAACCCTTAAGCACCCGGCCGTGCCGAACCCATAATTGCTTCCCCACCTCCTACAAGTACATCCCTGGAGGCAAGGTACGGTGGATGCGGAAGTGGCTTTGGAGCTCTTTGTCGCACATGGAGTCAGGGCCTTAAAGAGGTGAGTGTCTACCAAGACGAAGAGAACAGATCATGCTAGTGAAAGACAGCGGGTTCTGAGGTGGAGGGTGCTGATGGTGGCTCAGGGCTTCGGAATGTTGGGGCTGGAGTTCAGAAATCAAGGGGCTTGATGGGGTGTTGAGACTTGCCCGGCAACCGGGGCCGTCGGGGAACGCTTCACCTTGCCAACTTCATGAGCTGAATGGAGCGAGGGAATCGGACATGTATGGTACCACTCCCTCTGAAACCTCTTCCAGGTCCCCGCAAAGATCGCGCGCCGGTGCATTGAGTCGAGCGGACCTCATTTCCCATATGATGCTGAGACGGCAGAAAGAGGGTCAACGTCCACCAGCGGCATGTGTGTTGTGCAGGGCCCGAGGAATTGAACAAGTCGGTTTGCCGGTCCGACAGGCAGCTAAGCAGCTATATCGCAATAGTGCAGTAGTCGTATAACATGTTGGACAATATGGAGGCGTTTGCAAAAGGACCTCGCAAGGGCCGCTTCAGAGGACATGTCATGTTGCCCTCTTGGGCGATGCTTTATGTGATTGTAAAAGGAGGGGGTGGTAAGGTTTGGGCCCTTTAGCAAGGTGCACACTCCGCTTGTCTGGCAGTTTGATCTGCGTTCTACGGGCCCGACAGCTTTCACCAGAAGGTTTTGGGCAGTGGGGCCTTCTCACGAATACCCCACCACTGTTGACGAAGGTTGCCCTCATGAACGACCTCCTCGCCTCCAAAGAAAGGCCTAGAGTTCCGCATGAATCGGACACACGCATGCATTGGGACGCAGTAGAAGCCCAATGCACACTGATCTCTCAGTTTTTTTGATTTCTAGTCCTTGCAACTTGATTCGAGCACAAACTCGATGAGAGTTTAGTGGGGTAAGTAGATCTTATATAGGCCAGACTCTAAGGTAGGCATGTTCTAACCCAGAGAGTCCTTTCCACAGGTTGTTGATAATGGCATTCGCTTTCACCCACTCCAACCACTGCAAGTCCGGAAACAGCCGGTTGGTTTGATTCAGCTATAGTCAGCGCCCTTAACCTTTGCGATGCTGCTAGATGAAGCCAATTCACCGACCCGCAGGTCAGGCGTAGCTCCCAGAATTTTTGCCTCAGCCCCCAGCCCCAGGCCTCATTTTCACATTGACAGCTGTGGCAGGTATGGTTACCAGTACGTCTTGGACGCTTGGCTTAGCGTGGTCTTGATAAAGCATGAAAACTCCGACTCGCTGTCGGACCTTTTGCAATGCGACATGCTGTATCCGCCCCCATGTTGAACGACAATCCGAGCATGAAGAGTGGCACAGAGTTGTAGAGTTTTGCTGGTTGCCACGCATCTGGTCTAGAGAGATTATGCCCGAGTCAATCCTCCCATGTGTCGAGGAGCTGTTTCAGGCGCTGGACGTTGATTCCTCTGGGCTGCTCCTGCTGCACCACAGACACAGAAAGGTATCACCACGGGTGCGGGCAGAGTAATTCGTTTCAAATTCTAGATTCGATGAGCTACAAAGGCCTTTGTCAGCCCGAGTCCTCTAGCGAATTCTCTACGACCGGCAGCAGGAATCACAGAATTGAAGTGACGACTCAGCAACACATGTGTGTGTGCCGGCTGCTTCAGAGACATATAGATAAAAGACGCGAAAAGAAGGAAGCGCGCAATGTATTGCGTGCTCCCTGCGTCTTTGCTCTGCGAAAAGCTACTGCACGTGTCTACTAAATCTGTTCGCGGACCTCAAGACGAACTCTAATTATCCCAGGAGCCTGAGCCTCGAGGAACTCCGAGGCCTTATGGGCGGCGGCGTGCCTTGGCGTGATTTTGAAAACTTCGCAGGAGCGGTCGGACGTGAAATTCAAAAGAAGCTGATGGGAGCACTGTTGCAACTTAAGACTTAAGACTTAGCCTTCGAGCGCACAAGCCCGGCAGAAGTTCGAAGACCCGAAGGCTACCCTCACCGAGGCCATGTTGAACAATGGAGGTTCCTCCAGAATAGAACACTCACTGCGAGACTGGGCCTTCCCGGTGCTTGTGAGGGTCGTTTTTTCGTTTCTCGTTTTCTCGTTATTTTTTTTTGCATATGGGTTCCGGCTCGCTCCTGACGAGAGCTCCGAACGCAAAAAGAGGCGCAGTTTCTTAGCTTCGCAGAGATGCCCCCGTCCCTGGCATTCCCTCGCTAAGGAATCCACAGCTTCAACGCTAGCCGCTAAGCCATGCTCGCCCCTAAGCCCCTGAGTACCGCGCAGCAACTGTCCGAGGTCTTTAAGCTCCGCCATGCAGACGATGTCGAGCAGCTCTTCAGTTGCCTTTGGGTGGCTTCCTTTGTCGTATGCTGGCCTTTTCCAGGTAAACCTATACCGTAGATTAGGATTTAGATGTTGCTAGAAAGTCAAGTGTCTTCGGGACCGTATCCGGGCGTGACACTGCAAGCCTGATGCAAAGGTCTTACTAGAAAGTCCTTGCAGATGTTAAACCGCAGCTCTTCCAGGGTGACACTCGTTTTGCGCACGCACGAGACCGTGCGTTTTTCTTGACGCCTGCTCGCATTTAAAGTTGTTTTCGCCTAGGTCCGGGCGTGGCTGCCATCGCCGTCCTAGAAACTGTCATCGCTCTTGAACGTCTGGGCTCACCAACTCCGAAACTCTTGGACGGCCGTGTTCGCCGAATGCGACACTGTCGTTACTTTTTCTCTTTCGGGCTCACGGAATGCGTAACTGTCGGTGCTTTTGGACGTCTGGGCTTGCGAAATGCAAAGCTGTCGTCACTTGTGGACTTCTGGGCTCTTGGTGACTTTCTTGAACCATTGGAGTGCTCTGTCATTTCTCATTGTTTGGGTCCACGCTGACGGAATTTACACTTGGCCTTGTTGCTAGCAGGAAATCGCCACCACCTGCGGAACAAGCTATGGCTCGCTTGCAGGAACCACAACCCCATCCAGTCCTGGAGCTCTGGAAAACCCTGCCCTCCGCAGTGTTTGGAAATAGCTTCCGAAATCCACCTATCGGCTGAGCCTAAGGCTGCTCTCCTGGATGGATACCAACCAGGCGGGCTCAGAGAAGATGGGTGTTTTGAAAAATCGAGGCTGAACCCCACTGCAATATCAGATAGCAAATTAGAGGGTCAGGATGGGTCAGGACTTCCCAGTCTCGTGGTGGCTTACGGCGTGCATCCTTGGGACGAAAGGTTGTGGTTTTCAGAGATCGGCTGCAGGCAGGGTTTAAGGGAGACGTTCAGCAGCCATGCAGCAGTCAACACTTACGCAGACCTGACGGTGTCTACTCTATGGGTTTGCGACTGATTTGGAAGCTCGGTTGTCCAGGTCTGAGCGTAAGAGTTCTTCTTAACACCAACAGACAAATGGTGCCAATGTCTGAGACCCGGCAGGATGGCACAGTTTCCTTTGGCGAATTTCTCAATGCAGCCGTGGCGGATGAGCAGGGGGCGGAAGGTTAAAGGGATGTTGAGGATGAAATGCGTTGCAAAAAGTTGGGCTCACGGAGCAAGATTATACAGGGCATGTTTGCCAAGAAATAGCAAAGCTTCCAGGGCACATATGCCGAACGCACATGCCACGTTTTTGCCTCAAGACTTGGTGCACGCCGTCCTGGATCTCTTGGTGTGACCTAAGCAATTCATCAGGGTTTGGGCTCTGTGAGAACATGTTCCGGGGAGGTCCGACCGGGGCAAGTCCAAGCTACACAAGCCCCAAGGTAGCACTGGAGTATGGCCAAATCAACACGCGAGCGGAAGGCAAGCCCCAGGATTCCCATTGGTCTTTGGAGTTACGGTGTTGAGATGGTTCGAAGCTGCACAGAAAGCTTGGCAGAAGTAAGATGGATTGGGTACAGAGATAATAGGTGCTGTGTTCATGGCCCTTTGCTGACAGTTGGACAATGCTGCAGCATTCGCAACTTGCAAAGTTCGGGTGTCAGAAAAGTGATGCATACCGCCAGTAGCAACAGGTCTTGCAGACTGGTATTTCCTGGCTCAGATTCAACATACAATGATATGGATTTATGAGTGTGTCTGCATTTCGAAAGAAGCGGTCCGAAGTCAAGTTGGCAGCCACATTGCAGCCACATTGCTTCAACCGACATCAAGAAGCCACAAATTTCGACCCTGCACAGTGCAATTCTAGCATCTTCAATCATGCAGCTTATGGAATCATCTGTTCAAACCCCGAAGCGTTCACCACAAGCACCTCGGGGCAGGTGAGAACACCTCGCCGAGTTTCTGGGCAGGTCTCGGGTTGCAAGGCGCGTTCAGAAAGCAGGGAATCGGCACTGGGTGTTTTCAAACGCTCCAGGCACGGGTCGAAGACCAGCCAAGCAAGGACAAGGTTTGAGGATCCGAAGCGTGCACACCTAGAGTCTAGTTCTAAGGTGCAGGAAGTTCTTTACTGGCCCTGCAGCATTTACGCCATCTTCCACTTAATGCTCAAGGAAGGAGGTCACCGTTTGGAGCATGTTAAACGGAGCACATACAAGCACGGCAGATCCTACTGTTTTCGGTGGCACGCATCCTGGAAAGAACGCTTTGCATGAGACCACTCGGTGATCGGAGCTCATGCGGCTGGCAGCCAGAGATTCGATGTTTTGATTCGTTCTGCCTTCAGAGGCTGGGGGCAATCATCCTCTGGAAGCACACTTCCTGCACGTTCGATGCCGACGCAGAAACCTTCGAAAGGCCGATTGCGTAGCCTCTCAATGTAGCTTTCAGGACTGTAGCTTACAGGACTGGGATTCATGCTCAGACTGAACCAGAGCTGGAGTTATCACTTTCAATTGAGGTCCATCTGAGGCAGTCTCATTCGGATTGTCTAAACTGGGTCTTCATCTGAAGCCCAAAAGCACCTCCCAAACATCACCCGCCGTCCGCTCTGCAATGAGCCTTGTGGGACAATCCTCTGTGCGCGGAGGCTCGTCGGCAATCATGTCGCAGATGGCGCCAGGCTTTACAGTACATGTTTCATATTGCGGACTCAAAGTTAGCAGTGGTTGTAGGGGGTTCCGGCTGCGTGGAAGGTTCTCTGCCTGGCAGCCAAATCAGCACGCAAGTTCCAGACGGACCTCCGAAGGTGGGATTTCTCGCGTAAAGCAATCAGGACCCGCACAGCCATCAACTTGCAGCGAAGGGCGCATTGCAGTAAGAGCCGAAAGAGGGCACCTCGTCGGGACTATGAGGAAAAGGGTTGTTGGCTGCTTGGCGACAGGTGGCGGTAGGTTGCGGCAGGCACAAAATCAGCCAACTTTTCAGGTCCTATGAGAGACCAGAATGCCCTCCACAGTCTATCGCAAGGTCTGGCGGCTGCGGGTGGGCATCTTCAGTGCATCCAGTCGCGCCGCCGTGAGAACGAGATAACCCTGAAACATTTGTCGGGGTGGGGGGAGTTCCCGATACTGTTCCCGATAGGCCTCTGACAGGCTCGATAGTCTCGCCGCCCCCTGCACCGCAACAATTACAGTCACGCTTGCTTTGTTGTCTCGCAGGCGTGTATTTGAGGTTTCAGAGTTGATATAACCAGGTCCTGGTCGACCGGAAGTGCCTGGATTCGAGGCTGCCTACTGCATGTGCTCCTTGTGCCTGGGCGCTGAGGCTGAGGCCTTGTCTGTTTTGAGAGGAAGCTGCCTTTGAAGCCTTCGTGGACTATGGAATTTCGATGCGTGTAGCGGCGTAGCTGAAAGTGAGCATCTTCTCAGTCTCAGCACTTCACGAACGGCAGCACTTCTTTATATGTGGTTCGATGGGTGTGTGGCATAAACTCACAGCATGTGTAAACACTTGTTGCGAAGATGCAGCGCGATAGGCTCCTAGAACAAGATGTCAGGTTCTCCTTTCAACATTCTATAGAGTGGTTAACTGTATACCCTGGACCCAGGTGCGGAGAAGACTCGGCATCAAAAGCCGTGGAGTTATTCCGTACTGGCACAGCTCCTCCGATGCAGGTCAAGAAACAGCAGCTGGTGTTCGAACAACCCTCGTGCGCTACATTGCTTAGTACTACTTTGCGGTTTCTTCCTTCAGGCGCTGGGATGTAGCATCATGCTTTCCAAGCTTTCAAACTAGCGGCATCCCAAACACGCCTTTGGCACGTTCGGCTTCGTGACTGGATGGTAACGGCCCCATGCCCCATGGCGAGGTCAGATTTGATGGGCAAGCTAGTTGGAACATCGAGGAGGAAACCTGGCTACACTGCACGGATGGGTATCGTTGAGCTCAGGGCGAAAGGTTGGTACAGTATGGCTGTTGGCGAACTCACAGGGTACAACCGCAAGTTGCTGAAACCTGAAAGCCTTGTCACGGAGTTTGGTCCGCGGTTTTCTACGATCGAGAGCACCAATTTCATATTATCTACCGCAGAGACCATGCAGCTTGTTTTTTGATAGCTTCCAAAATCATCTTCAAATCTACATGCCAAGCATGCTCAAAAGCAAGTTCCAGTCGGGATTGCAGGAGCCGAACGACCGTGCACAGGTTCGGTACACCTTATCTCCTGGTCCGAAGAGTACATGTCCGAGGGCACTCGATGTGTAACATAACCACTTCACAACTTAACAACCTTTCAAGGAGTTGCTGGATTACCAGCCACCCGACGGCCTGGAGTTCGCAATCGTTTGCCAAGGCATCCCCGATAAAGGGTGGTAGACCGAGTCGCAGGTATTAGGGGCGCAGTTGGAATTCTGCACAAAGTCTGCGCAGTGCACAGCTTGAGTATACGTGGCCTTCACTCATTGCATGAAGTTGCAATCGAGAGCCATGCTCAGCTGCTGCACTAGTCAAAGCTTTTACCTGAACTCCTCAATAGGCTTTTGAAACAGCAGCAGCAGCAGCAGCAGCAGCAGCAGCAGCAGCAGCAGAACAAACTTGCAAAGCAGGCCCCAACTCTGCAGAGGGTTGGGCCCTAGAGCTGCGGATTGAGCGTGAGCCTTTGCACACTTATCTACTTTCACTTGCACCTCCAGGCAAGGCCGAGGGAGAAGCACAAACAAGTACGAAGAACCCCACTCAGCAACGCGGCTTCCGAAAATCTTCGAACATGAGGTCAGCTGCCTGCTTCCTTTCCCTCCAAAAGTTGCATGCCAAGCCGGGAGCTGCGCAAGCAGTTTTGGGGGCCGAGACGCTGTTGGTCCACAGGACCAATGTCGGGTTGGTCTCACGAAGTACCGTTCTGAGTTTTCACGGGCATTCCTCCGAGAAACCTTGAAAGAGCAACCAAAGGGCGCAGACGGAAGGGCACTCCAGTCCACCCTGCGAACTGCTGGCCATGCTCCCACAAAAGCCTGGCTGCAACGTTTACATATGCGAGTATTCAATTAGCCTGTTCAATCAGACAGGTATCGCTTCAGCATTCGGAGCCATCGAAGGAAATTTTATCACATTGCCGACCTTAGGATGTTCAGAAATTTCTAGCCACAGTGACATGCTTGCTCCTGGAACGCGCGGCGCCAGAGCAAAATCTGACAGGTCAGTCGGAAAGGCTATTGGGCAAGGCATCTTGGCCGGTGTTAGAGGCATGACTCCTTGCTCGTTTGCAGCTGCCAGCTGCATTGTGAAAGGTCGAAGCCCCGAGCGTCTTCAAGCCGTGAATACACTGTGCAGGTCACACCCGGCATTGACATCCCCACATGCGCAATCCGAGAAAGCTGTTTTCTCGGCCCTGAGAATGCCCGCAGTAGTGGTCTGGTGCATAGGTTGGCCACTCTTTTGATGTAAAGAAACGTTCCTTGTTAGCTCTCTTTAAGTCTTACCATTGATATTGGCTTGCCAAGCTGTCTGAATTCGACTTCACAGTATAACCACCATTAGTACACTAGTCTTTCCACATCACGGAATGGCACGCTTTCTTCAACAAGTACGACACTTAACGCCTTAGTTCGGTGCAAGCTCACACAGCACACGCTGCCCAGGCCCGGCTGAGTCACCGGCAGTTCTTCCCGTTGCCGGGTGAAAGTTCAGATGAATTCAAAGCTGTTGGGCTATGAGTCTCAGCATATGGGAGAGTTCCACGCGCAGAGGAAAGCACAAAGGATACTGAAACAGGCTGGTGTTTCGGCATTCCTTGGTAATAGAGATGGTAATAGAAGAGGATGTCTGCAACAGCTCCGAGCAAAGGGGCACAACATCTGACTATATCTGAGTTAATTCTTAAAGGAGGAAGCGGAAAACAAATGAGACCTCCGATGCACTAGGAATTCGCTTGGAAAACTCGAAAGCTTGGAGTCCCAGCTGGGAACCTGAAGTACGTTGTGCTCGAAACAAAGAGGCCCCACAGCCCTCGATGTTGCCTGAAGCTACTGCAGCCCTTGTCCTTCAAGGGCACCATTCGACACCCCAATCCCCGGACCTACTGACAGGTTGGGCTGCAACACGCGCTTGACCTTGTCGCGTAGTGGCGGCGGCATCCAAGGCTGGACGTAGACAAGTTTGCTTGGGTTCCAAAAGGAATAACCTGCTCAGAGATGTAGATCCTGAGATGCATAGGGTCCTACTGAGCCCTACTGCACAGATGGAGACCTCCACCTGCGCTGCTTTTTGCATATGCATATAGTGTAAACTTGGACATGGCTGAGACTTTGAGGCACACTTTGGGTGAAGATCCTCGTCATGGAGGATGATGGCCAGCTCGTATCGGAAGCTTGGCATGCGCAGAGTCAAACCTTTCCGTGCCGAACACGTAAGGAACCTTGCAAGCTTTGTGACTGCGATCCCTGACGGTCTTTTCTTCTGTCACATTACCCAGGACACCATGAGCCTGCCACGCACTGTGGTCTTGTCTGAAGTGGGGTGAACACACTACTGTAGCAGATTTTGCCACCTTCGGTTGCATGGTATTTGTCTGAGCAGTAATCGCTCTGGCCCAAGCCACCCGCCTTCTGTATTACTGCCACCACCCGAGCGGCACGAGCCATGCCACTCTCGCACCTGCGTCCTCATTGGCTTTTTTCCGGGCTCAGGCTTCATAGTTTACGGGTGTTCGGGTGTCGGCTTCAAACAGACGGCTTCGGAGTGAGGTCGAGCATCGATTTAAAACAAAATCACCGGCAGAACAAGTATGCAAATTCAAGAGCTAGGACAGCTAGGATGAGCCAAAGACTGAAGCTCTGCACATTCAAGCACCAAAACTCATTTCTCCAGATAGATCCCGTCCTTGACCCCAAATGTCCCCAGACGAGGCACTTGCGTGGACCATTGATGGATCGCATGTCCACAGGCGCTGCCCAAGCTGCGAGTTCAATGATGGCTCCTTGGCTTGTGGATTCCTGGCATTCGAGAGCGTAAGCTGCAGTTTCGGTCGAGAACTGGTCGAGGGCACACTAGAAAACTTTAAGAGACATGCGAGAAATGTAGCTTAGCAGCTTGGTGTCACTGCCGCTTAGGCCGAAACAATTTGGTTAGATCAAGGGCGCTTCATACAGATCTCCAACATTTCTAGGCTCAGGGTTGCAATTTTCGGAGTGAAGGTTGGCCCCACCTTCCAATTTCACATTCGTGGAACACTTTTGCCAACCCTGTTTCCGTTTTGAGTGTCGCATCATGGTGGACGTCAACAATCTTGCCTCTGCACGGCTTGCCGGCAGTAGCTGCCCTAACTATGTTGAGAGACTTGCGATATCTTGCGATCTTCAAAGGTTCTCTGCCTGGGGCAGTCTCTGCTGCCCGGCGGCGTTGTGCCGCCGACGTTGCAAAAGCGCATCGAGCATGCAGCAGACCCTTGGGATCCCTTGAGGAGGCTTCGATGTGCTTGCTTTGCGAATCGGGTTCCAGAGTTCAGTAAGGAGTGGTACTCTTTGTGCCAGATGCCGAAACCCCTGCTTTGTTTCTGATCTCGAGTACTCGAAGCCCTGAAGAGTGCCCGAAGCTCTCCAAGTACCCAGCTGCTCAGTGCAAGCCGAAACTCCTTCGAACTTCTACCCTTCACCCCAAATCTCAAAAACATCCAGAGTTCGGGGTGCTGAAGCCCCGTACATACTTGCAAGGCGTAGCGAATAACAACGCTGTTACTGCCTGAGAGAATACACAAAACAACAGCCTTGACAACTTTGTAACCTCAATGTTGGCTCCAACCAGAATCGTCCTTGGACATCGGCAAAACTACAGTCATGCTGCAGCGTGGGTCGTTTCACGGCACGTTCCCTTGTTCATGCAACACGTCTGTCGTTCCCGACGTGTAGTGTGGTCAAGGTAGCTGTGTGACCGTCTGTTTGGGCGGGCTTGACAGTGGGAGCCAAATCGCCTGGACTCGAACTTATATTGGTTGGTGGTCTCTTTAAGTAGGGTTTCTGTTTTGCAGGGGGTTCTTATTGGGGTATCTAGGGGCCGCAATTAAGGTATAAGGGTAACAGATAAAGTTATAAAGACTCGAACACTGATCACTGCACTAGCGATTCGAGTAACTGGTAAAAACCCCTACTGTGAGGGCCCGTAAAGGCCCAAAGCCCAGCAGAGGATTTGCATCGGCGCTTCAATTGCCGGATCTATGTCTCGGGCGCCGATGTGGCAAAGTGCGGTGTCGCGGAGGGCCAGGCGAAGATGAGGGTCGCATTCCTTGCATGCCTCCAGGGCAGTATGTTGGGTTTTGAGCGCCTTCAAGGTTGAAGTGCTCCGGTTCGGGTATGCTTCAGGCTTTCACTTGGTAGGAGCGCCGCCTGAAGCCAGGTGATGCAAGACCTGCTGGTTGGGGCAGGTTTGAAGCCAGACGTCCTGGATGTCGATGCTCTTCGGGCTGCACATGGGAATCCTGTAAATTGCAGCTAGAGGAAAAGTGAAAGAAATGAATCTTGTTTTCTCCTTTCGAGCGATGAGGTCAAGGCCATTAACACCATCGAGAATGCAATCTATGCTGTGCCAATTCTGCGGGCCCGTGGCATCAACACAGCGACCTGGCTCAAAGAAGAGCCTAGCGAAGTCAACCTATGCTGGCACAGTCACTGTTGCGGGTAGCACTCGCGCTCTGCAAGGGCTCATCTCACATGCGTTAGGGCATAGCGCCATCAATCACTTTTGGCCATGACAACAAAGCCATGGAGCTTTTGTTGACATATGGGCCGCAGTTGTTGCCAGTTCAATGGCGGGAACAATTCTTGCAATGCGTTTAGTATGACGAGACCGGAAAGTGTTGGATACATAGCCTCTAACTCCCTGAGGCAAGTTCACTGATGTGTTTGTGTTTGCCTGCGTGGAGCTGTCAGAGGGTTCTAGGTGTAGCCGGGCACTAACTGGAGGGCGTCGTTTCGACTAGAGTCTACACTGGATTGCTGAGTTGCCCTCAACTGCAAGAGAGTGCGATTCATGTGCATATAAGAAGCCCAAGCCTAAGAACATCCAAGAAGCGTCATAGGGGGGCGAGTTAATTTGCCCACAATGAAGCCTTAGTCCTGAATCCCAAGAAAGCTCTTCACCTGGAAGGTCATTTTGGTCACCAGTGATTTTCACAGTGCCCGGGCAGCTTACCTCTTCCAGTGCGTGCCTGGACCAGAGTCTGGCGTTCGTAGCCTACACCTGAATCGACATAGCAAAGCGGACAAAGTCCTGAGGTTCACAAATAGCAGGAGGTTCACACGCTTTCTGGGAAGGTTGAAGGCCAAATATGTTGCACGAGCACGGCATATGATGCAGGATTCTATGCCCCAAGGCCCTGATCATCCCCATATTGCCTAAACTCCAAGCTCTAAACACACGAGGCAAGGCAAATGATGAAGCCTCTACTAAGTGAGGATGAACTTTGGTTCTCTGTGCGCTTTCTGATGTGAGAGCGCCACAGGTTTTCAGAGAACACGGCCTGAGCGTTGTGCTGCTGGCGGATCCCGCACCCAGCGGGCTCGAACTGGGACCGTCTAGGCATCGACACAGCTTTGAAGTGGGGTCTCCGCACTCTCGAAGAGCTCGAGCCAATGCAGTACCTGTAGGCCCATTCTTATTTTGGAACGTTCATGCTTGTTTTGGACCAGGGCTAGCAGCCGATACTTCCTCTGTCCTATTGTACTCTTGTGATTGTACATTGTGTGTGCCAGTTGGTGTCGGGGTTCATGGTTCGAGCGCCTCTGATCGACATGTGCGATCTGATTGGTGCTAGCCAGCCATTCTGATGCCATGTAATAAAGAGACGAAGACCAGGACGAAAGTGCTTGCCGGTTTTGCATGCAGGCCCAAGGAGGAGTGGCCGAAGGAGATCAACAACTTGCGTCTCTCCGAGCGGCTGAAATTCGAAGAGCCGTCTGGCAGAGATACAGTGCAGGGGCGCAAAGACAACGGATGTCAGGAAGACCATTCTTTGGACGCGATATGTTGGGGCCGTTGCTGAATGCATCTGCCTTTGTGACCAATTGATGCCTTAAAGTCACTGCGAATGAACTTGATGTCAGGGTGGCATTCTCTGCAAGTCTCAGGCATCAAAGCCCAGACAACTCTGCGCAGGTATCTTCTCCTTGGCAAGATGACGCCTCTTGAGGAATATGGTCCTTTGGCAAGCAATCCGTAACTTCACGCCCACCGCTAGTCACGAGCCACCCAAATAGGGAGCATGACTGCTGAGCCGTCTGCTGTAAGAATCCAACGTTGTGCCTGCCAGGATGCCTATCATACCCTCGCGTCTTGTAACATATGCCCAGGTTCGAGGATGTGAGGCTCAGGCACTCGATTAGTTCCTAGGCAGTAGTGCAATGGGTGCTTCATGACAACGTTTTACCATCACATTTCCGCCCAAGGAATTGAGCCAAACAGGAAGGACCTGGAGCATGCACTGGCTTCGTTGAGGGCTACTGCCGTGTCATTCGAAAGCAAATTTTGATTCCGTAGCAGCTACCGTAGCACGAGTCTATGGCGGCAGTACAGGAGCTGCATGAAGCGGGCGAACCCTTGTAAGAGCCCTGCTTGCGGCACCTCAATCGGAATGTAGAGTTCCGCGACAATACCATCCATAAATTGAATACTTGCATGCGCTCTGCTTTTTCTCTTTTGGTTCGTGTTGCAGTGTACAGCCCTGCATGTTTTCCACCATGCATGCTTTCGTGGCACCTCGAAGCAGCTATAGCAAAGCAACTGCAATGGTTCGAGGCACGTGTGCCGCCACAGCCCAAATCAGGTTGGCAGTGAAAAGTCTGTCCTGCCCAAAAAGCTGTGCAATTGCATGAGAGACTGAACAAGGCAAACCGTTGAGTTGTACCAACGCCCTGGTAAAACTACTGGACCTCACACCCCTAAACCAGAGAGGAGTGCATCGGCCTGGCTCAGGCTGATGCTATCGGCCTAGATCTTGTCCCTAGCGCAGTGGGCCCTCATGGACGTCAGTAGGGATGGGGGACGCAAAAGGCCGTAAGTGCTTCCGAGCAGCATGGTTTAGGCTGTGCGTGCTGCCGGTTTCCAGCGTACGCACCGTAGGCTGAAAGCAAATGGGTTTGCTGGGCCTCGGGGTTCGATGGCATCATCCGGTCATAAAGTTAAAGTCTGCCTGCATAAAAAACAAGCGACTGCAGTCTCTTGCTTTCGGCTGAGGAAGCACCACTGCAAGATCCTTCTCCGGTGCAGAAGCTGCCAGGCCAAGGCCTTTGCCTCTTCCTGCATAGCACTCGGCTTCTAGGAGACTCTACTACCTATGTGGATAAAAACATGTGCATGGTATCCCCACCCCCACCACCACCCACCACCCACCACCCCCCACCACCCACCACCACCCACCACCACCCACCACCACCCACCACCACCCACCACACCCACCACCACCCACCACCACCACCCACCACCACCCACCACCACCCACTACCACCCACCACCCACCACCCACCCACCAACCACCACCACACCACCCGCCACCACACACCCACCACCAACAACCCACCCCGCCACCACCACCCGCCACCACACCACCACCCGCAACCACCCCCACCCACCCCCCCCCCCCCGCCACCCGCCACCACCCGCCACCACCACCACACCGCCACCACCCACCACCACCCACCACCGCCCACCGCCACCCCCCACCCACCACCACCCCCCACCACCCGCCACCACCCGCCGCCACCCACCACACCCCCCACCACCCCCGCCACCACCAACCCCCACCACCACCCACCACCACCACCCACCACCACCACCACCCACCCCCACCCGCCGCCACCCGCCACCCGCCACCCGCCACCCGCCACCTGCCAACAACCACCACCCACCAACCACCAACCACTAACCAGCAACCAGCAACTGCCAGCAACCACCAGCAACCCACAACCATCAACAAGGAACAACCAACAACCAACGGCCAACAACCAACAAACAACAAAAAACAACCAACAACCAACCAACAACCAACAACCAACAACCAACAACCAGCAACCAGCAACCAGCAACCAGCAACCAGCAACCAGCAAACCAGCAAACCAGCAAACCAGCAGCCAACAACCAACAACCAACAGCCAACAGCCAACAGCCAACAACCAACAACCAACAACAGCCAGCCAACAACCAACAACCAACACCTGGTCACGGAACATCCCCAACGCCAATGCCTTTCTGAGAGCCGAACTTTGAATGAGCTCCGCAGGCCCAAACGAAATAGGGGGCCTTTCCAAAACCTTACATATACCAGTTTGAAACTCTCAAACTCCCTTGACGGAACTAAAGGATGACTCTCGGTTCCATCTGCTTTCACGATCTTACCTGCCGACACCCAAAATTCAACCCCGCTTCCAAATTAGATATAAACTGATAATTCTCCTGGAACCATCGTAAGCATGCGCTGGCTGGCAAAATGTGGTTTATTAAATTCTTCCTTTGTTGAACTTCTCAACAACAGAAGTACCTCTTTTAGACAAAACATCGTGCTTAAGCTGTTCTTTCTTACAAGCAGGGGCTTGTGTGGACGCAGGGTCCTGTCCGGCGGGTTTTACGGGTGTCCGGTCCTGTTTCACGAACCGTTTTTGCGTACATGTACATTGCGCACCCTAAACTAGATTCGCCCATCGAGACAAATGGCCTCGCATCATGGCACTTGAGCAACGCAGACGAAAAAAAACACAACCAACCAACAAACAAGAGAGAGAGAGAGAGACAGAGAGGGGCCATGCGCACTGCAAGCAAGCAAGAGAGAGAAAACCAAAAAACAGTTCGGTACAGTATGGAACTTGTAGAAGCACAGTCCCAAGCTTATGTGCAGTGGCTGTCCAGGGTGAACCTAGCATGTTCATGGCAAGCCGTGACCCCTACGAGCTCTGACATCTAAGCCATAGTAGCACACGTTCCTGAAGCCCGACTCTCCAGGTCGAGGATACAATGGATACAAGCCAGCTGAGGATGCGAACGCAGGCCTGATACAGCTGAAGGTTGCAGAATGTTACAAAGCTCAACGGGCTCGACCAAACACCCCAAACCTGAGACCAAACCCTCCTTTTGCAATTGCATAATGCGAGTAAGCGTTTGTGATGTTTGAGTCGCCTGAGCCCCGAATCCACCTGTGTTGCTTAGGCATGTCGGTGACGTGGGGCAGGCCGCGTCAGATGGGAGCTGCATGGGCGGGGTCCGAGGACTTCAAGGAATCCAAGCAGCAGGTCAAATGTAAGCTTGCTTGTGAGGCGCCAGAGAAGCTCAGGAGTTTCATTGTCAAATGTTCAATGTGACAGTATACATGACCATGACAGGTCTTGGGTGGAGGAGCGCCAGCCGGTCCTCGCCGGCTTCCGGAGCAGGCAGTTGCCTCCGGCACCTCCTCCTGTACAATTTGTGCCTGGACGCACCGACAATGGGTGTCATTGTGCTTGTGTTTTGACGCAATATGGACGTTTGGCTGTTCATACTGGCTGGGCTGAAGCTTTTCACATTACCGGTGTAGAAGTTTGCCGGCCGACTACAACTTTCTTCGATCAGTGGCGTTCAGCTGAAATATAGCCGACACATGGGTGGAGAGAGATATGAGGCGGGTTGTGCTTGTTTCCCTGCAGTGGGATGAGAGGCTGCGAGGCAAGCGGCAAATACACCCAAAAATGCATGCGAGTAAGAACAGACAGAAGTCGCCTCCCTTGCAAGGTGCAGCATCCACATGTCGTGGACGCAGGCCTCCCTGCTAATTGCTACTCGGATCGGGCTGAATCTCGTTGCGGTTTCGGGATTTCGTGAGGTGCCGATTGCAGAAGCTGAAGGGCGATTGTAGTTACTTCGTTGCTGCACAGAAATAGAACCAGACGTTTGCCACGTTTGGGAGAGCAAGCCTTCAACCCCGGAAACCATCACCTCACAAAACCCGAAACCGCAGGCAAGCGCAGCAAGTTTAGGTTCGGGGAAAGGTGTGGTGCCGATGCTTCTCCAACACTCTATCCCTCAAGTCCCCAAAAAGAAGCCAAAGCCTGACCTGAGTGCAGGTGCCTGGGCACCAGCGCATTCCCCCTCCCAGATGCTCGTGGCCGCGCGCGGGGCTCAATTGGCAAGGAGCCTCATGCAATGCACCGAGACTGTGCGACAAAATGGCACCCTCCGAAGGCAGAAGCCGAACATCATTTAAGGCCGGGTATGCAGCTTTACACACCGTACCCGGCCATGGGGGACCCTCGGCAGAGATTAAGGAGGTTCAGGGCCTGAAAGGCTACCTAAAAGAGCGAAGATTTCTGGAGTTTGCCTGAGGAGCACGAACTGAAACCTTCACTACCTCAAGCCAAACACCACACAGGCCACTGAAGCAAAGGGTCGCAAGGAGATGCGTCAACTCACCCCGCTCTGTGTAAATTTCACCAATCGGCGTCCACAATGGGGTTTGGCAAGTCAGATTACCTGGTCCAAACTGCTGCAATCGTCAGCCGGTCTTGCATTTTTGGTTTGCTTTGGCCTTCCCGACACTGGAGTCGGCAAGTGTATCTGGAGAGAAGTTGGCCGGCTGGGCCTTAGCAATGCAAGAAGAAGATCGAGGAATCGAGTCCTCGGGGACTCGTTGGTGACATGTACGGCAGATCTCAGATTTGTGTAAGACGTGCCTCAAGCTCAGCGTCCATGCTGTTTGGTTGCTCTTGTTCGGAAACGTTCCCCCTCCACCCTCGCGCCAGTATCTACCACGGCGTCTGCCAACAATTTACCCTATTCTCAAGACAAGACCCCCCTGTACAACGCCTTGGTGTTGAGGCCATGATGGTTCCGGCGCGCGTCTGAGCCTTCAAGTTCGCTGGCCTGCAATGCCAACGAGTCGTGTACAGACCTGTGCCGACAAGACAAACCAGCCGCAACAAGCCTTGACACTCTTTTGAAGAGTGCTTCGAGGGTTCAGGAAGCAAAGTCCCCGATAAGGGTTGCTTCAAGCTGCTTTGGTACCTTAAACTTAGTATCTACATTGAGCTACCTAAAGCCTCACAGAGATGTGTGATGTGCAGTTCTACTACACTTTCTAGAACATCCGGCATTGCAGACGATCAGCATTATGTAGAATGTACAAAAACCGAGCATGGTTGCAACGCATCTGGAGGCTTCTAGGCTTCTAAGGCTTGCAGGTGCCAGCGCACGAGCTTCTGGCTACCTCGGAGTCAGAATTGTTTCATAACCTCCACAGCCCAACGCCTGAGGTGAGTGGATGTGGGATGATTTTCCCGCTTAATTACTGCACCCTTGAGGGCTGCATCGAAGCAAGTTCCGAGAACCCTAGACTAGGGCTGACATCGGAGCAGCTGTACACATATGTCACATATGTCGGTTTAGAGGGGCACTGCTTCTCTGAACATGACGGGGCAAAAAAAACAGGGGTGCGACGCGCGCAATCGGCTGCTGCCACTGCATGTAACAGGAGGCATGAGCCAGCCCCGCTCCAGGTGCACAACCGAATGCTCCAGTTGGGCGATGCGGCACGGGGACGTTTGGGTTACGGCCAGCATAGGCGGGCGCGATGTGAAAGCGCAACAGATGTCTTTGGAGTCTTGATTCCTGAGTGTCGGTGATGCCCTTGATCCCGAGATTTTGCCATCTTCCCTGCCAGTAGCGTAGACTCCTCTGTTCATTGATGCTTGAAAGAGAGCGCCGCTTTGATGTCGTCGAAGCCCTGAAAGGGCATGGCACACTTCGTCTGCATTGACAGCTGCATATCTGTTGGCTTTTTGCTGTTGCGGCGTGATGCCCGGGCAATATGCTGTCGAGGAAGTGAAGCGAGCTTGTTTGCAGAAGTTGCAGAAGTTGCAGGCTGGTCTTTGTCGGATCGGATGGCCGCGCGCTCAGGAAGTGGATTCCCGGATCATGCACCGACTCCACGCCCGTGAGCCCTTCGACTTGGCAGAGCTCTTTGAGTAGATTTAGCCACAATGGATCAAGCAGGGTGACTTGTTTTCTTCACTCATGCGGGCATGCGCTTCGCATAAAGCGCATGGGTGCCTCGCATGGGTGCTGCTTGCCCAGCTTTGCTGCTGTTTCGTCGCAGACGATTGCAATGCTCAGCGGGAGTTTGGAGGAAGCTCGGCATGGCAACAAAGCAAAGCAATGAGAGACTCTTCTGTTTTCTACAGAGAGCTTCTCAACTCTGTCCGATCCTCTCCTGGTCTTGTGGAGATGTTGAGTGCGGCGAGTATGAAGCAAAAACGGCAGCAGAGCACCAACCCTGCATGAGTTGGGAGAGTTAGGAGGTGGACGTTTTGTAATTTGCAGGTGAAGGCGGTGCAGCCCGAAAAGTAGAATAGAGGCCAGAAGCAATAGTCATGGAGTTTGCGACTTGCCACAAGCACGACAGAGGCACATTTCGGCCCTGACACCTTTCATTCAATCCCTCAACGGTAAACAGCCTGACTTCTAACCCCTGACCCTAAGCCGAGGTGTGTACACCATCGTCAACCAGGAAAGCGGCCGCCGATTGATCGCTGATGAGCGAGGCTTCTATACAACCTCACAGGCCCGACCTCAGTTGGAAGGATGCTGGGGATGTTGAGGTCCCGGTCTCAAAGCAAAAGGAATACTTCTCTCACAACTCACCATCTTTTGTGCCTGTAGGGCAGTCCATCGAGTCCTGGGATTAAAACACAGGCTCGGGAACCGCAACAACTGACGAGGGGCTCTGCGCCGTGAAGCTGAAGCGTGCCTCAGGTGCCTTTTTCGCCTTTTGAGTCCAACCGCCTGAATTGAAAGCTCTCCTGCATGCCAAACAAAGCAGCCGATGAGTCCGCAAGAGGTCAGCGTGAGCAGCACCAGCATGTGGCATGTACTCCCGGATGCCAATGCCACGCACGTGCTGCAGAACGTGGCCACCGGGGCCCCTTGGGTGTGAAAAGTATTTAAATCCTCTTGCAAGGAGCATGCTACTGCTTGCACTCTAACCTCAGTCTAGACTCCGAGCTGCGCTGGACCAGCGACTTGTACAAGTTTCAAGAGAGATTGGCGACATTGCTTGCCTCTGAAGTGACTGGAACGAGGTTAAGGGTTTCCGGTTCGGCCCTGACAACACAGAAATCGCTTCGTTTATGGTGCTTGTTTTGTTGGGCCAAGCCCGACCGCAACAGACATGAGCGTTGCCTTCCCAACGCGGCACCCAAGGCCCGCGTATATGCACAACAGGGCGCAGATCGTGAGCATGGCTTCTTCGTGTTGGACGGTGCAACGCCGGTCTTCCGTGATCAGAGGTGGTTTCCTTCTGCATTGTTCACCCTCAGTAGCTTGCTCAGCTGTGCAACTTGCAATTATCCAAGTGCTCCAAATTCTGCTTCTGGATTGCAGCGTGCTAGTCGAGACAACACAAATCTCTAGGAGGGGGCACTTCTGTCAATTAAAGCCCACAGGAAGAAGCTGCCACCAAACAGTTCCTATAATCGCTGCCCAGGTGGCAAATTGACTGCAGAGCTCGCTTGGGTGCATGCACCATCACAAACATGAAGTCACTACGAGCCTTGGCATGAGTCCTCTTCAAGTTCAATTCGCAGCCCTGGGCTTTGTGCTTAGCTTAGCTTTCGGAGTCATGAGACATGAAACGTGGTGATTAAGCACGCCCCCCCAGCCCCCCCCCCCCCCCCCCGCCTCCCCTGCGGTTCCCCCTGAATCCATGACACAGGGCCGGAAGACTTGCAAAGGGCGATTGTTTGTGAACTGTCGGCGGGCGGATGTTCAAGTTTCCTGCGACACGCAAGTTTCCAAGATTCTTTAGTTCGGGTGTTTGCTCACCTTTCCGTTCTCCAATTCTTCTTAACTGATTATGCAACGACAGTGAGTGGCACATCCACTAGTCGTTCAGCTTCCCCTACAAACTGCATACTCTTCACGCTTGTCAGTTTTGTCACACTTTACCTGCCTAATCCTGCTTCTGAGCTTTGGGTTGTTCACGGTCAAACCTGCTCAGTTCCCGCGGTTTACACGTCTCAACCCCGCAATTATGTCTAAAACCTCAAAGGTGAAAGTGCAAACCCAAGCATTCTTGCAGGAAGCATCATTGATGATCATCGCGGCCTCATTGCGACAGCTGTTTTGGGCGACGCTCCAGGGGCGCTTTGGTGGTGGCGAAGCTTTGATTTGACATGTCGTGGCTGCGGCAACCCCTTGATGGAGGTCTTGAGTGGGGCACAGCCCCAGTCCAACCATGACAGACAGTCTCTTCTATCGCACTTGAACCGCAATGGCAGTGATGGTGAGCAAAAGCTGGCACATCTCAGTAAGGTTCCTGCGCCAAGACAACGACGAAGTCGGTCTGCACCCAAGACCAAATAAGCCACGTGTGGGCTTTTCGTGATTTAGAGCGTAGCGGTTGATGTGGCTCACGTGAGCTTTTCATCCATGTGAGGTAATCGAAACGGGGGATGGTAGTCACATGCAGGTGCGAGGTTTTGATCCTGCCAAGGAAGGACGCACTATTGGGCAACTAGCTGGAAGAGTGTTTTGGCAACAGCCCACACAAGATATGGAATGACCCAGACAAATCCTGAACCTTTCTCTTTAGGGGGCTGGAACTATAGTGGCTAGCGACGTTAATGACCTTCAGATATCGGAGGCCCTGTCGGGATCTGAGCAAAGGCAAATAGAGAGCGGCTAATCCAAACTCAATGTACTGGTCAAGAATTCACAGGAAAGCCGAATTTTGATGAAGCTTGCATGGCTATGAAGGCCAGCACATCTCGCGCATCTGCGCGCTTCATGACGAGGGCAAGGCAGATGTGGGAGGGTGGGTTGCATGAAGCAGCTTGGGGCAGCGGTGATAGTGCTGGCGTTGGGGATAGGATTCTCGGCTTCTTTGCTTGGGCGCGGCACGTGTGGCAAAATAGTGTTGTTAAACAGTGTCCATTGTTGGGCAGGAATTGATCACTGTGTTAAACAGGCAATTTACATCAAATGTGTGTGCGTGGCTGTGTCTGTGTCCGGTTACCTGTCACCGATTGCGCTCTGACAAGATGGCTACACAATAGTCAATCTGCAGACCAGCTGCCGTGTACTGTGTGCTTGGATGCTCAAAAGCCAACGATGGGAACAAAGGCTTGTCATGTTCCCTCACGCGACCTTCAGGACCACAAGCCCAGCTTGCTTCACAGGTGAAGTCCATGGAGATCCTCTCGTTGCAAGCTCGACTGGATGAAGCAAGTGCAAGGACGAGAGGGCGACAGGGTGAAATGTTGAGATGGTTGAGGGATGCTTGGCTGACATGGTTTCAGGGAAACTGCATCTTCAGAAACACGGGCACCAAGAGACGGTCTTGGCTCAACTGGGCCTCAACTTGCACCGCGTGCAGGCTGCATGAGGCTGAGCAGAAAACGGAATTGGCAAAGCACTTCGGCTGCAGTCTGGTCAACTCGAGATCTTGGACTCCTCGAAAGCTGGTGCTCCCTCCCTCTCCAAGAAGCCTCAGCCTAGCCAAGCCGCCCTAGCCGCAGAAGCCCTAAATGAAACAAGTGCTGCTGAGGGCTTGGTGGCTTTAAATTCTCCGTCTCTTTGGAGACTTATTCTGATGTGGCTCCGCACCGTCCAGTCCAAATTAGCATTGCCGAGACTTGGAAAGTCCTCTAGCCCCACCCTTGCGAACTGGCATCCGCTAGCCGCACAATTTGACTCCCGACCTTGCATGATCAGCCTCGGATCCCGGCTTTGAGGTTTCAATCTCCGGTCGCCGCCCTCGTCTTTGCAGCCTCTCGCTGACAGTTGGTGCCCTCGCTAGACATCCTGGGATCGTAGACTGAGTCATCCACCTTGACAGCAAGACCTGGCAG